CTGCCCTCAGTATGCCAGTCATTCCTATGAACACAATTGCAGAAGCTGTGATTGAGATGATTAATCGTGGACAAATTCAGATAACCATCAACGGATTCAACATTAGTAATGGATTAGCAACTACTCAGGTGAGGCACTTCAAGGCACATCTCTTGGGCTTTATTGTGTATCTGTATGTTTTAATATAAAAAGAAACAACAACCTCCCAAGCAAATGCCTCTCTTCTGTCATGTTGATTTATTTAGTTCTCATACTGAGGGAAACTCCAGATGTGCTGTAAGCCACAGATGTTGTGGAAGATGATTTATCCCCAAAGGTAGAGGGGTTATATCATGTGGTATCTAAAGTCCAAAGTAATTGAATTTTGCTGCATAGAAAAGACTGTCAATTGTATCTTTGAACTGTTCTCTGTACCATCACTTCTCAGTGCTTTCAGTTCATGGGATTTAGGTGATAGTGACAACTACTGTTTTTGTTTAATGGTTTTTTTAACCTTGTAGACCAGTTCTTCCTTTTTAAAAAAAAATACCTGATTTTGATTTTGATGTGGCTTCTTTTGACTCTTGAATGTTCTTCAGTTTAGTCTTCAGGTACAGGGGGGAGTGAGCTGTAGGCTTCCTAGTACATTGTTCTGTATGTACGTAGAGCTGAGGTGTGAATCCTTGTATGTCTGTGTGGTAAAAATGCATCTTCAGTCCATCTGGCTAATCAAAGCCAAGTCAAAGTGGACGTGGGGGGAAAGTCCATTGTTATTCAGGAGAATTGGAAAATACACTGGCCCTGTAACTTAATATGAAGTCTCATTTGTGACCTGAATTTTGTGGAAATCCCCTCTGAATTTCTAGGGACCTATTTTTCTTCATTAGAGACCTTTCACTGTTACCTCTCTATCCATGTTTTGTTTTCTTTTTATGAGTTCTTTTGTGCACAACTTAGACTTTCCTGTAAGTTGTAATAGGCTTTGTCTTAGTATGATTAGTAGGTTTATTGGCTTTCTCTTTTCTTTCCTGGAAATGCTGTGCCCTGAAATAGTGGAGAGTTTCTTGTCTTAATCACTCCACCACCAAGAGAACCAATCTAAGCTGTATCTGTGCCCTTTCAAAATGCAATTTCTCTCTTTTGGTCATAGTAAGATAACCCTTCTTTGTATGTGTTCTAATGTGGGGCATTGGTGACTAGGAATGTGCGTTGTGGTTGAGGTTTTCACAGTGTTATGGGTCAGTAGCACTCTTACCTATTTCTTTTGAACTAAATTATTTTGTTTATCTTCGTGTCTTTACAGTTTCAACATACTGGCTCCATGTTCTAACAGAGTCAGTGACAGTGAGTCATTCCCATGAGTGTCAAGTTTGTCAACAGTACATTTATTTTGGCTGGCAGCAGTGGCAGTGAGCTAAACTTTAAATATATACATACGTAAAACATTAAATTTAAAACAAAAAGAGGCTGTAAGTACCTGTTTTGCCATATCTGTAAGGATGTTTTCTTCTGACCATTGCCTGTTGCTTAAAAACAAACAAAAAATAGACTACAAAAATCTGTAATTCTGACTTTAAATTATACTTCCATTTTACTAATCCTCAAGACTAGAAATACTGAAAAACAAAAATAAACCCATCCACCCCAACCCCAAATTGAACAACAAAAATCCCTTTGTTTTCTAAGTACTGTTTTCTTCTTTCTTGAAGTCTTGCTCTCATTTTTAGTTCCAAGGCAGTGAGGTGACCTTAAGGAGGGGAGCACTCCTTACATGCCACTTCTTTCTAATGACTTGAAATTGCAGGGAGACATAGCCAGGGCATGAAAATGCCCAGTGTTTTGTTCCTTGGTGGTTGTGACATCATGGTATCGACAAACATGTACACATACCACTTAAGTTCTTGTTCTGGGTAAGTAGACAATTTAGTCTTTGTATAAGAAGTGAAAGATAAGCTTTCTGTAACTTGTGATGCCAGCACATGTTGCAGTGTGTCTGTCAGGAACATTCCATTAGGCCTAAGCACATTTCCTTCAATTTCAGCATTCCAATAGTTTTGATTTATTTTTTTTTTTTTCCTGTTTAGATTAACAACAAAGCAGCAACTGGAGAAGAAGTTCCACGAACCATCATCGTTACCACCCGTTCTCAGTATGGCTTACCAGAAGATGCTGTTGTATACTGCAACTTCAATCAGCTGTATAAGATTGACCCTTCCACGCTGCAGATGTGGGCTAATGTGAGTAGATTCCTTTTGGTCTAGGAACTAAGATCAAACCTCTGGAACACAGTAGTATTAATCTATTTTGAAGTGTGTACCCAGAAAAGGAAAGGTTTCTGGCATAACTGTCTGTATTTTCTTCTTGATTTTTGTTACAGATCCTAAAAAGAGTTCCAAACAGTGTGCTATGGCTGCTGCGTTTCCCAGCTGTAGGAGAACCCAATATTCAGCAGTATGCCCAAAACTTGGGTCTTTCCCAGAACAGAATCATCTTTTCTCCCGTTGCCCCTAAGGAAGAACACGTGAGGAGAGGGCAGCTGGCTGATGTTTGTCTAGACACTCCGCTTTGCAATGGGCACACAACGGGGATGGATGTGCTCTGGGCTGGGACTCCTATGGTCACTATGCCAGGTAATGCGGTGGGAAACCTGGATGGAGTGGGTGAATTTGATGTCATTATTGTAACCATAACGAGCAGCTTGGCAGACTTCCTCACTTCCTCTTGTAGAGGCAGAAGGAAAGTAGCTTCACACTCTGCAGCGTGTTGATGACTCCAGTTATCTTATTTTCTATGTTTCTATAGGTGAAACACTTGCATCACGAGTTGCTGCCTCCCAGCTTACTTGCCTTGGTTGTCTTGAGCTTATTGCAAAAAGTAGGCAGGAATATGAGGACATTGCTGTGAAACTGGGAACTGATCTGGAATAGTAAGTAAACTTGTATTGTGTAGCATGTAACACCAAGAATAGAAAGCGCTGTTTAGGGACACAGTGCTGAGTTTTATCAGTAATCTTGCATGTAGTTTAATGTTGAAAATAAGACAGTTCTCATCCTGAGATGTCTTAGAGTCTTGCAGTTAACTCTGCTTCTGTTTTTATAGTAAATGTGGCAGTGCTCCAGTAGCAACACTGCAGTTCTGAAGAAATTGCTCTGGTGCAGGCTCTTGTCTGATAAAAAGTGCACCGTATTTCACTTTCTGTTCTTTTAGATTGAACATGAGACAGTTTGTCATTTACTGTAAGTTCAAACTGTGCAGTAAGTTAGTGCAGTACAGTTCATGTGACAACTTCATACCAGCTGTGACATTAAGAGGTAATGCTGTATCAGAAATGATGATGAGGGGGTGAAACAGCCACATGAGCTTGGTGTGGGAGTTGCTGTTTTCGTACTGGCAGTTCTGGGTCTGCTGAAGCACATTTCAAAAGTAAACAGTATATGAACTGTTGGGAAGCATTCATGATTGGCTTCAACTTTTTTGCAGCCTGAAAAAAATACGTGGCAAAGTGTGGAAGCAGAGAATATCCAGTCCTTTGTTCAACACCAAGCAGTACACGATGGACCTGGAGCGGCTTTATCTTCAGATGTGGGATCACTATGCTGCTGGCAACAAACCGGACCACATGATCAAACCAGTGGAAGCCAGTGAATCTGCATGAAGAGACTTGTCTGTGTGCCCACCCAGACCTCTCCAGGAACTGAGCCTCTCCAACACTTGTGCAGAGATGATGAGCTAAAAACTGTGCATTTCTACTTAATCTGCCTGGTACTCTGTGGCTGAAGTGATACATGATGGTAATTAGAGCACAGCCAGACATATTTCTTGCATGATAGGGAAAGACTCTATAGAGCCTGGGATCCTTTTATTCCACGAGGAATTGGAATGGGATTGAGCCGTGTACATGTGAGCCTAGATGTGTGAGAGACGTGGTGGTTGGTGGGGGAAGTTTGACCTGCCCAACCAATTATGATTCCTTGGATTTGATGCAATCTTCTGGCGCGTTTGTCTCCTCTTATAGATTGGGAATTGGAGCCTTTTAACGTTTGATTTGGGTACTCCTGTTGGTATACGTGTGGTTCTCCCATGGCAAGATTTCCAGCTAGCGAGTGTTGCTCCCTGCATTCATTTCTAAACTGTGCGGACTGAAGGGCATATTTGCTGGTGTAGTCTTTTTTTATAGGTTTTATAAACCACTTGAGCCTATATCAGCCTTTTAATGTTTGACCTCTGTTTTGGAGCTCTGTAATGTGTTGGTTTAGATAAGGACTTCGTTTTTGTTTTGTTTTTAAGCTTCTCCAGTAACTCAGCTAATTGGCTTCATGATGGCAGCTCCTCTTCTGTTAGAAAACCAAATTTGATTGGAAGTGAATCCTCCCCCAAAGTGTTTGAGGTAAAACACAAACTGGTGCCAAATACAGATCTTTCAGGAATGATTGTTAATTATGTATAGAGGGCGCAGTCCTACGTACTGTAGCGAAGACTTCAAACAAAAAATAAAGCTTTGGTTTGCCAGTTTGACTGTCACGTTTTTGGCTTCCCTCCTTGTGCAGCTGGCAGCAGCGTGTTCTCAGCTGCTGCCCTTCTTTCCATCTTCCTTTCGGTGACTTTTGGTTTCAATAGTGCTGGTTATTCCAGCTGCGATCACAGCTAAGGGTGGTTCTCAGCCACAGAATGGAAATGAAAATGTTCCATTACACCCACCCACGTGTGAACGCTGTGTGCAGAGCTCACAGAGCATTTATGGACCCTTACACTGATGCTTCCCTCTTCTTTTTCTCATCTCTGGTCCCACGGTGCAGTAATTATAACTGTGTAATTGCTTTTGCACTGGGTAAACACCACAGCCATTAACTGTAGGCCAAGGCCTGCCTTCTGAAATTGGCCTCAGCCTTGCTGCTGGCGCCTGCGCTCATTGCTGCCGCTGCAGCGCGCTGTGTGTATGCAGGGAACGCCCCGCAGGCACTTCCGGCCTCCCTGAGCGCCGCACTGCGCATGCGCCCTGCAGCGGTGCCCCGGAAGCGGAAGTGGGCATTGGAGGCGCGGGCGCTTTGAAGCGGAATGGCGGCCTTCAGCACCCCGCTGGGGCCGGGCCGGCGGGGAGCGGCGGGGAGCAGCGCTAGGTGAGGCGGCTCCTGTCCCTGTGGGGCCGTGTTGGAGCCGGTTAACCGATCACCTGAATGATTTCTCTCGGTTATATTCACGTATAGTTCTGGCTTATGCCACCCGTTATCGCAGCGCTGCTCTGCGCGTTGCGTAATTGTCGTCTTGTAGGTGTGAGTAACTCGTGTAAGTGAAAGAAGCCATCTTCACGTTGCTCAGCAACCGCACAGTGGGTTTTCCGGGTGATAGTGTCTGCTTTTTGTCCGAAAATAGCATAAATCGGCTGGCAAAGCAGCGTTCTGAGAGCCTGGACAGCACAGTTCTACATTAAATCCCCCACGTGGAACAGGAACCCAGCTCTGTCCCTTCCGATGCCCATCGCCAGCCTGAACTCAGCCCCACACCTTGCAGAGCTGATGCTTCCAAACGCTTCCAGCCCTCAGATACTGGCAGCCATCGATCGTTACACGAGTATTTAACACGTTGTTGTTACAGACTTTAATACCCAAGTTCAGCTTCTCAGCCTATTTGAGACATTCAGTGTTTTTTCGGCATGTCTTTGCTGTGTTTTCAGGATGTGTTTGGGATTTCAGCCCAGCAGAGCTGCATGTTCCTGATGTTCCTTTGCTTTTCATGTTTTTCAGCCATGCTCTGCACTTCTCGTCCAGCAGCGATGATGAATTTGAAATGTGTAAGTAACAGGACACGTTGATTTGGGAGCCTACAGAGGGGAGGGGAATCAACTCTTTGAAAGGGTAGATAACAGCAGGACAAGGGGAAATGGTTTCAAGTTGAGGGAGCGGAGATTCTTTACAGAGAGAGTGGTGAGGTTCCGGAACAGCTGCCCAGAGAGGTTGTGGGTGCTCTGTCCCTAGAAGTGTTCAAGGCCAGGTTGGATGGGGCCCTGGGCAGCCTGGTCTATAATTAAATGAGGAGGTTGGTGGCCCTGCGTGTGGCAGGGGGTTGGAGTTTCATGATCCTTGAGGTCCCTTCCAACCCTGGCCATTCTGTGATTTGTTTGTTGAATGAGTGCAGAAAGGAAGGACCCATTTCTATCTGGGTGCAACAAAGTAGTTTCTAAGGAGATTTTTCTTCCCAGAGGTCACTGCTTTGCTACAGTGCTGTGCTGTGTCAGTGCACCACAGTGACAGCTTTTAAATCTCCTGTCTCTGTTCTGGATGCTTTTTGCCTTGCATTGTGTGTGAGGCTCTTTTTGCTTTCTCAGCTCTATTTGCTGTTAACAGCTCCTGGCATGGAGCTTTTTGTTGCCCCTGTTCTGTCTGACCCCTGCCTCTTTCCCAGACTGTAGTGTGTAACCATTTTCTCTGAACATTATCTGTTCCAAGCATGTTCCTAAACTGCCCAGGATTCCCTTAAGTCCTGGAACTTGTGTGAATCTTAACCACTCAAAGGGATGTTTTTGGCTAGGAATGTATTTTGACCTATGTATGCTAGGTTCCACAATAGTACCTTCCTGGCTTTATAGTGTAAGAGTGCATAATGAAAGAAATTCTGTCGTCATCTTCAAGGATTTGAGAGGTGGTTGGTTTGGGGTGTGGTTTTTTTTTTGTTTGGTTGGGTTTTTTTAAGATTATAGGCTGAATTTTTACTAGCTGTAAGCTTTTCCTTTACAAATGCATAGCAAAATTATCATTTGAATGTTGTTGTTCATTAATTTCTTATTGTTTCAGTTTTAGTGAAAATGAAAACTCCCAAATCAGTCTCCAAAAAGGAGGATTCAAGGTGGGTGCTGCAATGAATGGCTTTCCAGTTTTCACGTATTAGTTTTCTGCATCATGTCTACTATACTGAATATAGAAAATCAATCAAAGTTTTAGTAATTCGGAGGCTGATAAATCTATGGGAGTGAGAGCAGACAGAGGAACTGGTACATGTTCCATCTGTGTATGTTCAGGTCCTGTAAAATGGGATGTTTGGAATTGTCCGTGTTCTCCTGTTCCTACTAATGGAATTAGTTGGTGACTTGTGAGCAGCTGGTGCTGTTTTGGTGTTAGGTGGCCTTTTTGGTGGCTGCTTTTCTAATAAGGAAAAGTTACTCCTCTATTTTGCTGCTTATGCCTACCATTGTTTTATTATTGCTTGTTTTACAGTTTGAAGGACTTCATCAACGACTCGATGGACGATTTCTTCTTGGATTTTAAAATGAAAAAGAGCACAACAAAGAAGGGCAAGTAATTGTGCAACAGCAATACACAGTAGGAATTCTCTTGGGTCAAAAGATAGCATTCATTGCTGAGATCATAACTGCTGCAGGCTGTGAGAAGCAATGGAATGATTTCTGAAGGAACAGCTAGGGCAAGGGAGAAGGTAGAGGAAACAAAATGGACTGAAATCATAAATAGTCATCTGTGTTAGATCTGATGTGAGCTATTGATCTTGATTAGTCAAAGCTGAGGTGTCAGAAGCCTCACTGGCAAACATGTGCTCTATGCTGTGGGCTGATCAGCTAAAGGCTGAACATTTTTTAAATTACTTAAATTACCTTTTTCTTGTTCTTAATTTCATAAGGCTTTAATATTAAGTATTCAGCTATTTTCTTATGTGCATTTTATCACCAGGAATAAAGATGATGCTAATGCTAGCTATTTGCATCTAGCAGGATTGTCAGGCCTGATGGCGGATATATTAAAAAAATAAAAAGTTATAGTTCAGTCTCCATGAATTTACATCTTTCAGTGACGTGCAGCATGTAATAAAGAAACTGCAAACCTCTGTGTTTTCCTGTCTTTCAAGAATTCTTTTAGTGCTAAGGCAGAGTCAGATATCTGACGTGCCAGAACCTTGAGCTGTTTCTTTTGAATTACAGCACCAAGAGATCTTCAGACCCCAAAGAAGCTGATGACTTCAGAGAAGGAAAATGCTTGCTCCAAAGAGCTGCAGTATCCAGAGGTTCTGAGTGACACGCATGATTCTGTGTTTGTGGACAGCCCCTGGCAGGAATACCGACGTGGAGGAGTGAAGGACCTGAAAGAGAGTTGGAAGTGCCTAAAAGTGCCACCTCCACAAAATGGGAAAGATTCGGCAGGGAGTCTGGGCTTCCCTGCTGGAAGGGCAGAAAGAAGCTGTGAGGGGAGTACAGGAAATAAAACATCAGCCACGCCACTCCGACAGAGTGCAGAGTTAAAATCAGACAGCTCAGATAGTGAGTTTGAATCATTAATAGAGCGGATAAGGAAACGGAATACACCCCGGAAACCCATCTTAAGCACAAGTAAAACTGTCTACCAGCCAAGCACAAGAGGTAAGAAACGATTCCTGGCTGACTTGCAAGCTGTCTTTTTGGAGCAATGATTTCTTTCATCAATCTTTGTCACTTGATTGTTGATGGCTGCGCTCCCGATTCTGTGACAATGTGAAATCTTGTGACTTTTCCCTCTGAACTAGAAAACATCGAGCCGCTCTGTGAAGGTGCCCAGTCCTTGGATGGAAAGGGAGTCAAGATACCAACATCAAAATCTGTTTCGCTTCAAGAAACACCTTCCAAGATAACAGCTTCTGCAAGAATTCCTAAGAGTGAATCTGTCAGTTGCTCACAGTCAGAGAAAAAGTAAGTAGTTCTCTATCTTTACTATATTCTAGGACCATTATAGATGGATGAAAAGATGCTGGGTCCTTTGCTTAGAGTGGCATTCTGGTTTTTCTAGTTCTTACAAACTTCTGCTACCTGATCAGCATTTGTTAATTGGTAATTAACTGGAAGCCAAGGCCATTAGTCTCAGGTATGACCAGGAATAATGAGGCATCTCTGACCTTCAGTGAATGATGGTATATTTTCTTGTAGGCTTAACGTGTGCTCAGTGCCTGGCTGCTTCTTACAAGATCTCTCAAGTCCAGATTCCCAGTATGTGAAGTATTTCAAGAAGAGTAAAGAGGAGCTGACACAGAAGCTTTACTGTCTCTATAACAGCACCATCTTTGAACAGAAGGTTGGCTTTAAAATCAAACAAAAAGAAACGCAAAGCAACTTAGATTTTTATAGTTATGAAAACCTAGTCAATGTTGCTCCTCACTTTTTGATGTGATTGCTCTGTGTCTTCTTCAGTTAATAGAAGTTATGTGTTATAGTAATGGCTTCTGATTCTGTTAGTTCAAGCAATTTCTTTGAAAGGGGTTTTTCAGCACTGTGATGCAGCAGTTTTCAGCTTGGCTTGCTTTCCCAGCTGTAACAGTGCATCATCCTTAAGTGAACAGATTGGGTGGTGTCCAGCAGGATCCTTCCTTGATGAGATAAACTGCAACATGAGGCTGCCTTGGATCAGTTTCTTCTTTGAAGAGGTGACTGATATTTACGTATTTTGTAGCACCTGCATGGTCATAAACTCCACCTGCCAGGAACATTTCTGTGGCTGCCTGAGCAGTAGCAGGCCTCACCAAAGGCAGCTGTGTCCTTATGCAGCTGAAAGAAGCTCAGGGTCACCTACCATCACTGCTCAGTCAGCCTGTAGTGGAGGAGCACGTGCTAGCAGACTGCAGCATTGCCACATGCTAATAGCTAGTGGTAGCACAAGCAGGTCTGGTAGCTGTCATCTCTCTTGTTAAATTCCCAGCTTCCCACCATGTACTTGCACGGTGCCTAGCTGAGCTACTTCAATCTGCTCAAAGTAGAGTGTGAGCTGGAACTGGGAGACAAGTCTGCAGCAGGCAGCACTTCACATGACTCAAGTTGCTCCAGAGCTGTGGCCTCTTTTAGCCTTCCCTAACATGGGTCTAACAGTTCCCAGCCACAAAAGGAAGAAATGCTGTTCCCTGCTTGCAGCTGACCATGAGCACGTGCTGGGGAGCAGACACCAGAGAGCTGAAGGATAAAAGCACTTCCCTTTGGTGTCAAGGGCTGTTGCCTCGTGGTTAGTCATGGTACATGCATTTCTATGGCACGTTCCTGTCTGCTATCCCAGAACAGACTGAAAAGCTGTTTATCAGTTCACATAAAGCTGAGCTGAGCGGGCTCACCATTGCTGAAAGACTTCCAGTGCTTCAGCCCTGTCCCTGTGCTGACAGGGACCACTTACTTAAACTCATTTAACTAATTCAGATGTGAGAAAACTGTCAGCAGAAGAAAAAGAGGTAACCAAGATAGTTATGATGAAGGCTTATAAAACCAGGAGCAGCACAGAGGATAAGCAGAAGGTGATTATTCATCTTGCAGTGTGAAGGTACACCAAGCAAAAATAGCATCTTGCAAGTTCGGAACAATCAAAGGCAGATGGTACTTGACATGTGAATTAAGCTCTAGAACTTCTGATCATACTATTATGGATGCTAAAAATTCATATATATTAAAAAAAGGTAATGCACAAGAAAAATTTGGGAGGCTGTTTAATGCAAAAGAGCCACCTCAGGCTCAGTGAGGCATTGCACTGCAAGTGGTAGCAGCTGGGCAGTGCTGGGAGGGGAAGTCCTGTGGCTTTCCTCACCAGTCCTTGTGTTTCCTGTAAGCAGCATGTTGGCCACACTTAGAGGCTGAATGGGGACCTAAGGGACTCTGTCTCATCCTGCATTGTGAAAGTCCCCTGCTGGTTATAGACATGCAGATGATAGAGGAAGAAAGCCATGGAGAGTGGATGACATTGTTAAAGGCACAAATAGAGATGTACTGTGCTGACCATGTAGTACATATGAGGGGAAGCTGGAAGGCCTGAGAAAGATAAAAGAGGTAGGAGAAGGGTGAATTATACACGTTCTGTTTTGTCTTTCAGTTACCAGAGAAAATGGTAATAAACTGGAACAAAAAAATGAGAAAAACAGCAGGATACTGTGTAACTGGGCAGACAAAAGGCCCTGAAGCACAGCGTTATGCTCGGATAGAACTGTCAGAGAAAGTCTGTGATTCTGCAGGTAGGTAAAAGAAAATCTGTGCTGATTCATCTTTAGGAAAGCATATTGCAGAGATTAAAACGTAAATTGGAGGAGACTGAGCCCTGCTATGAAATGTATTGCCTTCAACATATCCGCTAATGGTATTGTTTGTCCTCACAACCCTTCTAAAAGCCTGGGCCGATTTCAGAAATGTGAGAGCAGAGATCTATTTGTGCCAACCTCAGTATTTTGTTTATATTATTGACTTAAAGACATCCAGTATATTTTCTGTAATGTCACTCTAAGAAACTGATGTCATCCGTCAATGCTAGGCACCTTTCCTGTGCTGTCATCTAAGACTGAGCTTTGCTAGCTGCATTTCAGCTCAACACATTTTACCTGTTATTTTTAGAGAAGACTCTGTTGTGGATTTTGTCTTGTTCTGGCAGCTACCAAATAACATCTGTCAGCAAACAGAACGTGTAAAACTGCTGTTTGGGGCTCTGTGTCTGTAGTTCTGTACTGTATCCATTTTTTTTCCTTTACCTCGGAAGGGAGAGGCCCTGGATAAGAAAAGCAGTGTCAGAAGCGTGAAGCAGTGAGGTAGGGATGGGGGTTCACAATTCCCCATACCTGACTGACATCTGTGTCTTTTATTTGTCCTAGATCGCCTTCGAGACACACTAATTCATGAGATCTGCCATGCAGCCACCTGGCTGATCAATGGTGTCCGTGATGGGCACGGCCGATTCTGGAGGTTCTATGCCAATAAATCAGCTGTGGTTCACCCAGAACTGCCTGTGGTAACACGCTGTCACAGTTATGAGATTAAGTACAAATTCACGTATGCGTGTGTTGTGTGCAAAGCCACGTGAGTAATGTTTTGATCTTGCATGTGACTGTGCATTAACTTTTCTCTCTAATTTGTTTTCTGTGCCTACAAGTTAGTTCTGTCTTAACACTGGGTGACCTTGTAAATTTTTTTGAGCAGTTGTCCCTGATCTCATGATCAACACCAATTCCATTACAGGCTTTTTGTTAGAGGATGCTATCTCCAGTTCTGGACATGTACTAAGACAGAAATAACAACACTTAAGGGCCTGCACTGACTGCACGTGGCTCATCCCTGTAGAATGCATGTCACCAAACCATATGTTGCTGCAGCAATAGGTAGAAATAAGGCATTCCATTTTTCACTCATAGGATGGTGATGCACTGGAGCAGGTTTCCCAAGGAGGTTGTGGATGCCCCATCCCTGCAGGCATTCAAGGCCAGGCTGGATGTGGCTCTGGGCAGCCTGGTCTGCTGGTTGGCGACCTGCACATAGCAGGGGGTTGGAGATAGATGATCATTGTGCTCCTTTTCAACCCAGGCCAGTCTATGATTACAAGCTCTTCTGAAATCAAACCACTCTCTGTGTTTAACAAAGTCTGATTCTATGAAAACACGGAGACCAACCTCCTGGTGTCAGACTCAGAAAACTGCCTGTAGCTTTGATAGTACTGCCTGTAGCTTTTATAGTGCTTCCTGCACACAAAATCCAAGCACTCCTTTCTCCATTTCAGGATTGGCCGCCACTCCAAGTCCTTGGACACGGAGCGCTTTGTGTGCGCGTTCTGCGGGGGGCGGCTGGTGCTGAGTCAGCCCACTCCAAAGGATGGCACCCCTGCCAGGACCAACCTCACACCCTTTGCAAAGTATGTCAAAGAAAACTACGGTCTAACTAAAAGAGAGCAGCAGGGTTTGAGTCATGCTGAAGTGATGAGGAAACTCAGTGCCGATTTTGCTTTGAAAACGAGGCTTGAAGATTCCTTGTAATGGTGTGATACGTTTACTGCTTTGATGCCACTCAGTTTTTCTGTGTGGCAGTAAATAGATGAGCCGATTGTGGAACCTGTGTGTGTTGTAGAGGATTCCAGACCATTTGACTACTTTGGATTTCAAAGCTTCCTATAAAGAGCCTGAGACCTTTTCTAAACTGGACAAAAGTGAGCAAAGAGTGATGATGATGATGATGGCAAGTCCGTGGCAGTGATGCACAGATCATTCAGTCAGGCTCTCTCTCTTGTAAGACGGACCCTTTCTTGGACACAGCTGTTAATGTTTGTAGTTTTCTGATCAGTATTTACACTCAGTGCTTCATAGCACGTGTTCCTTGACTCCTGTGAGCAATGGGTTTATTTTTTCACCTGTGCAGCTGACCTGCTCAGTTGTACAGGTGCTGTACAATCTTGTGTGTACTGATCTGCCTGGCTCTGCCAGAAGAAAACCCAGGTACCTGAGCAGCCGTCTGATTCTGTCTGAGTGACTTGTGGACAAGGTAGGAGGCAGACCTGAAGAAAACTTCAACATGAGTTCAGTTGTCCTCCCAAGGAGAGTTTATCTGAGTGACCTTGGCTGTTCTTGTTAAAAGCAATAGGTAAGCAGTGCCTTGACTCCAGTAGCAGCAGGTTTTGAAAAGTTAGTTCCAAGCGCGATCAAAATCCTTTGATTAAATTTAGACTTCAGTTTTGTCTTGGTCACATTCAGTATTTTTCTTACCATAGAATGTGAAGATCCAGTCTGATGATGCAACTTTTTCATGCGGAGCGTGATTAAATTAGTTATGGTGTTTGTGTGTGCTGTGAACAAATCACTCAGGTGGCTGTTACTTTGGAATAATCAATAAATGGCTTTTAATACTACGTGTCCAAGTGAAGTAGGCTCTTCTGTTGCTATTTAACCCAGGCTATGTAGCTTTGGTATGTGAAAAATTGTTTTTTTCTAGGTCACCCTGCTTGCTGCAGCTGAGCTGGGCTCTGACTGCCTCATGAGCTACTCTATGAACACCCTCATCTTGTGTGCACAGAGGGCTGCAGTAGGACAGAAAGCAACTTCATTCATGCTTGTTTCTAGCAGTGCCTCACTCTTACAGTGTGTGTATGGGATTCAGGGCCTGAAATGGATCTGCAAGGTTGCACTTCCTTCCTTGAACGCCAGGACAGTCCTTCCCAAAAGCCCCATATGCACCTGAGCCACTGCCCTTAGCCATGCAGCAGAGTGCTAGTTAGGGCTGTGGCCAGCTGTTGCAGCTGGCCATGCAATGGGACACATTCTCTTACCCAGAACTTTAAGGTATTTTGGTCAGAAATTTTGCATTGAGATAGAAATGTAATGTACAAGTTGGGGGATGCTCTGAAATCTAGCACCAAGGACATCTAAAAAACTACAGCATATGACAGCCTTGTACATCTATCAGTTATCTTCCCAGCATCTTAATCATCTTCTCTCTTGGAAAGAATCACAATCTGTACCCTTGAGCCAGCAAAAAGAATCCATTTTGTAAGAAGGTTCAGTGCTGAGTATGCAACAGCACTACATGAAATAGAAGAAAACAGATGGTGGCCAAGAAGTGCGGGTACTGACACTCAATTTGGTGTAGCAGCCATTTCATTTCTACTCCAAACAGCTTTTGCTTTGGAATTTTTTATTTGGGTTGAGGTACACTGAGCATAGACCCTATGTCAAAGCTCTTCCAGGTCTGTTCCCAGGCTTCCCTGTTACCTAACCAATAATCCAGAACCATTGCTAGCTGTACAATCGTGGTCAACTGAAGATACTAAAAGAGGGCATAAGTTGGCAGCATCAGATAGATACAACAGCAGGGACATTAAGTCCTTCCTCCTCTAATCCTCCTATTCTAGGCTTCTGGAATACAAGTAAAGCAGAAGGACTTCTGTCAAATTATAAGTGGAAACAACAAGTTCCCTAAGTCTATCCCTACAGAACTGAAGTCTTCTCTACCGAGAGATGCTGCCTAACCCGAGCACAGAGCTAGACTTGTGCTGCACGATGCAGCACCCAGAGAGGTATTGCTGTTCTCCATCAAGCTGGAGTACACAGAACCTTTATCCCACCGAAGTGCTCTTTGCTGCAGGAGGCAAAGAAGAGGCACAGCCTCGTATCTTCATTGAAAGGCAAGGTGAGGCCACCCTGCAGCCACAGGTAGGTCCAGTGGAGTTGATTATTTGTGTTTTGTTTTTTTTTTCTGAAGGATCTGTATTTCCTCCTTCAGTCTAAAGCAGCCAGTTCCTCCAGGAGCTGCTCCTTCTCCTGCTGCAGCTCCTGCACCCGCTGCTTGTTCTGCTCCAGTCTGTCCTCCAGCCACTGAAGGAGGGGCCCACTGATGGCAGACATCTGGCTGCAGAGGTTCTTCGTGAACACTGGAAAGAGCAAGAGCACGCCATGCCAGTGCAAGCACAAAGTCTATGCTACAACTACCCCAAAGCCAAGGGTGCTACAGAGAGCCAACAGAACTTCCCAGCATCCTGGCTAAGGCAACTACTGATCCCCACAGCAGAGGGTCAGAATCAGCAGCTTCTGACTGGGTTATTTTACAGCCTTTTATATCTTCCTTTAAAATATTGCATTACTTTTTTCAACCTGACTTTATGTAAGAGAGAATCCATCTGGTTACACAGAGTACGTGATTGAAAACGAACTGCATGGCAAAGAAGAGAGAAGTTTGTGCTCTTCTGGTTTTTGTTTTGTACAACTGCTCTTTATGCCAAAGGGAGCACTGGAGCTCACAAGGACTGTTATACAGCTGTGGTCTACTCTTCCCTGAAAGCAGTGCCAGAACAGCCACTCCAGGCTAAATTAGGAATAGCCTAATCCATATCAGAGGAGGAATCCTTACCTGAGCCATTATGAATCTTGGTTACAGAGTCTAGATGGGTGAGGCTAAGAGAAAAAAAACGTGGATTAGTGACAACAGCAGTGAATTGCACATTAGGCAGTGTAGAACCAGCCACCTCCAACCTGCTGACATTGCAGGTGCTCTTAACCTCTTCACTTGTAAGAGACCCTGCATATTCATAATCATACCAGACTTTACTACAAGTAATAATAGAGGTAGAGCATAAAAAACCCCTATGCTGATATTCTTCTTCATTTTTCAGACTTCTCAGTACTGGTGCCCTAGTTAAATACGGACACAGTTGCATGCAGACACATCACCATCAGCCCACACACGCTTGAGCTCATTTTCTGCACAGCAAAGGAGCAGTTCATTGGGCTCATGGAAAAGTACAAGGTCAAGAGCACCTGAACTCCATAACATGAAAGTAATCAACCAACTTTTTTACAAAGGCACGTACATGAGGTACTGATGCTTCTCATTTTCTATACCTCTGCTAAGGCTGTGCTCTTGAGTAGAACATGGCAGCAAAGACAGTCTAAGGGAGGCCTGCAGCCCCAACGTTACCTGTGAATCCTCCTGTAGGCATCTTGTTCTTCTTGGCACAGGATCTTGGGCAGCTCTACAGCTGATTCCAGACACACTTTTCCAATAGTTTCATGGGGGACAACGTGAATAGGAATTTCAATCCTTTCATATCTAAAAGGGTATCAGATACAATTAACTGGAAAGTAGCAGAGAGGGAAAAAAAAAAAAGAGAGAGAAAAAAAAGAAAGCCTTTACCAACCCACAACAGTCTGTTAAACTCATGGGATCAAACAGGCTTACTTTTGAGAACATGTGCTAGAACTGACAGGCAATGGGAATGCTTTTATAACAACGCTCTTATCCCAAATTCCAGTGATAGAAATGCTCAGTAATGAAAGCACCAGCATTGACAGTACAACGCACAGCACGTGCAAAGTTGGTGCAGACTCAATGCCGTGCAAACTCAGAGCTTTGAGTTCTAGAGTTGAACGCAGAAGGGTAAGCCCTTACACAACAGATTACAGCACAAATTCATCTGCAAAGTGTAGAGCTCTACATCCGATTTTAAGCTCTTACTAAGTTCTAGACAAAGTCAATCAACCTTTTTCAAGCAGCCTGCAATAACAGAGAACCAGATCAGGCATCTCTGTACAACATCTGCTGCTCTTGATGAACCCACAAACCACTTATTTGAGACAAATAAGAAAGAAAGGACTTAGATGAAACAGAAGAACATAATATTCTTTCTTTGTACTCACTCTGAGCTCTTCTGGGCCTGAATGGACTGGAAACAGGTGTAGAGAATCCTACCTGTCTAAGAGAGACAGCACAAAGTCAGATTTCAAGTAGCAAAGACCATCTGGAACTCCAAACTCCTTCAGGAAGAAGAGCATGCTTTCAAAGAGCACTTGAGCCGTCTGCAAACGTGTACACTTTGGTGGAAACTTTGATAGGTATGCTAGAACTGTTTTCAAGCTTCAATAGATCCATTAACTATGAATAAAAAAATCCCAGACCAGAGCTACTTGGGAAATCTGGAAAAGACACCATTATCAGCTCATCCCACCCTGTAACAGCCTCATGAAACTGCAACAATCAGCTGGGCAAAACAGCTGAAGGGCACCCAAACATTTCAATGAAGACACGTCTCTTAAGTTACCTACCTTTGTGTTTTTGTCCTCAATGAAACAGGAGAAGATAAGCCCTACAAAACCCTGGTCCATCATCTGATACATAGCTTGTGTGCGGACGTCTATGGACAAAGAAACAAGAGAACTGTAGATGTCACCTGAAGGTTTGCAAAAACATTTTCCAGCTTTTGGAGGCTGATGCTGGAATTTGGTAACAGTCACAAGCTTAATCTCAAAGTACACATGCCAGGACATGAAGTAAAAATCTTGTTCCTATTTAAAATATAATTAAAGAGTGTGTCTTAAATACACAGGATAAGTTAACAAAACATCAGCACACCCAGATAATCCTCTCCTACCAGAGGGAATTTTGGAAACCAAACTTTGATAGCTGGGATGTGCAGCTCTTAAGAGTCCAGTAAATTAAGTCATTTCTTTGCTGAGCTGCAAGCTTTTGTACAGAACCAAGACTGCTCTTACCTACATGCGACGGCCAGACGGTGATGTGAGGGTGAGAATGATACCAGCCCACAACTCTCATCGGACGTCCTGTCATCTCAGCCAACCTGTGTGTGAGTCAAGGTGCTTCCAAAACCAAAGGAGCAAATGCAAGAAACCCATCATACAAAGGCAACAGCAAGCACAGGGCAGAGCTTAAAAGTCTCACAGCTCAACAAAACCTCAGATCCCTGCAGCGAGGTGACAGGACATGTGCCACGAAATGGACAGACGCTTCCTCCATACAGGCAGGATACCACAAATTGGATTTTGCAGTTCCACCCCCACCCTGCCCATCAGAAGCACGGTTCTGCCTCACTTGTGACTAAAAGAGAGGACACACAAACGCTGTATCACAACTCCGGCACAAATGCAGGGCCAAACAGCAGCTCTGGGGAATGACGAGCGCCAGCTGATCCCTGCGGCACATAAAGGGCTCCGCGCCGAGGCACCGCAGCGCTGCCGCCAAAGGATATCTCTGCTTCTGTGGACGCGGCCGAGAGCTGCTCGGGAGAGATCTCCACTCGGTCCTTCCTCTTATCCGAGCGGCGCAGGATGATCACGGAGTGGATGTGGACGATTCTGCTGGTGTCGACCTGGTAGAGAGAAAACGGCTGTTCCTCTGCTATAGGAACGGCCGCCTCAGGAGGAGGGCGCTGGGCAGGGCTGTGGCGGGGCGCCGCCCGCTGCAGGCGGCGCTGAGGGTGACGGCGAGGGCCGAGCGCGGTACCTCTCCGATGCAGAGCCCCATGACCTCCTCCTTCTCGGTACTCAGCGCGTGGTTCAGACACACCAGGAACGCGTCGGCCTCCAGGTGCACGGCCTGCACCGCCATCTTGCAGCCTCCCGTCTTCCCCGCCGCCGCCGGAAGTAACTGGGCCCACCCCTCCGGAGCGCTCTGCGGAAGGACCAATCCTGGAGCAGCTCCCGGCCTCCTTCAGCCAATCGGCGCGGCCGACTTCCGGTACTAGGAGCGGGCGGTGCGTCGCGGCGGAAGTTCCGTGTAGTCCACGCGAGCGGCGGTCCCGGGGTTCCGCGCGGCGTTCGCCGTCCGCACCGGGGCGGGGCCCGGGGGCGGGGGGGGCGGGGCGGGGCTCGGCGGCGGCGGCCATTGGGGCCCGCGAGCGGGCGGGGGGCGGCGGCGGGGTCAGGGGGGAGGGCGGGGAAGGCTTCGCCGGGCGCGCACGGCGCGGGCTGTCAGCGGCGCGGGGCCGCAGGTAGGTGACGGGCGGGGGGGCGGTTGCCACGGAGACGCGCCGCGCCCCCCTCCCTCCCCGCCCCTCCTCTCCCCGCTCCGTCGGCCTCGCCGCGCCCCGCTCCCCGCGCTTCTCCCCCCGCCGTTCCGTCTCCTTCGGGTCCCGCTGAGCCGCGTCCCGGCGGGGTGCGGGGCGGCCCCGGGAGCGGCCTTCCCGAGCGGTAGAAGCTCGGAACGCGGCGCCTTCGTCACGGGACGCGCTCCTCCCGCACGCCGCTCCGCACTCCAGGCCGGCCCGGCTCCGCGCTGCGGCCTGCGGGGAGCGAGGGGGGAAACGCGGGCACCCGGCGGGCTCCGGAGCCCCGAGCCGCACAACCCGGCAGCGCCCGGGTTGCTGCGTGGTGCCGAGAGGAGCGGCGGTGCCGTCGGAGCGTGACGCTGCAGTCTGGGTGCTGCCCCGGGGCTGTTCGTAGGTGCGGGTTACGAACGGGGCGCTGCAAGGATCGGTTTGTAGCGCTTGTTTGAGGGCTCGGCGAGCTGACTTGTTTTTTTCAGCCCCGCCTGCCTAAGGGTTCTTTTGTTGCTTGCTGATAAAATCAGTGAGAAAGTAGGAATTGGAGATGTTTTTCCCTTCCTGGAGTTGCACCCTGGGTGTCTCAGCCTGTGTCTGGCCGCAGCTCCCCTTTCCTCGCTGTGTTTGATGTCCCCGTCCTGCTCCAAACCATGGTTTGCCTGACCTGCAGCTCGTCTGGCAGCACAGCCCTGAACCCTCCACCCTGAGCCCACAGCTGTGGAGTTTGGGGGAAGTTTGGGTCTGATTAAAGGGGCAAAGGCTGAAAAGAAGACGACAGACTGCTGCCTGTTCTGCTCCGGGTCCTCAGTGTGAGACCTCACTGTGTGTACCCATCACACCACGTGTGTGTGCACAGGGGGCACAGCCTACATGTTGTGCTGCAGTCCTCCTGCCTGCAGCTCAGCAAGCCTGAAGCAGGCCCGTGTTGGGATAGGAGAGGTTACCTGCTGTAGGGCACGGTGGTATTTGCTTACTGATGTTACTCTTCCACTGCTGAATCAGTGCTGAGCTGACGGTGTCTCTTCTTTCTGTAGAAATTCCAGCTTCAAACAGGGTATGAAAGCAAAGTTGTTTTGGGGGCATGATGGAGCTTTTGGCATTTTACCACAGAGTAGGAGAGTGTCCTGGCCAAATTCCAACCTGGGTAATTACATTCTGCTGACTGAAAATGAGCAGCAGTGATTGCTTGCTGCCTTCCACTGCCGGGCAAAGCACATATAGGCTCGAATTTGTGAAGCAAAGTAGGGTAAAGCAGAATGACTCGGGCTTACAGAAACATCACTGGAACTCTCATAGCTCGTTCCTGAAGGCCTTGTGAGACTTGTTTGGCTGCTGTTGCATTCCTGCCAATGCCAGCAGCCCGACTGCTGGGGCACTGCTTGGAATGGCTGTAAGGCATTGCAGGATGGCAGTGGTGCTCTTTGTGTCACACCTCCACATTCCCACACATCAAGCGAGGGAACAAACAGAACAGGAGAAAAAAGAAATATTAAAAGAAAGTTCCAGTCCTAAATTGCTGTGACAGTGCTGTTGGGGCTGACCTGTGCCTGGTGTTTTGTTTTCAGAAAGGCCGAGTGGCCCTTTGGTTCCAAAAGGTAGAGAACCACAAGTGTGTGGTGTAGAAGGCAACGTGGAAGTGTGTTTCCTGTTCTGTCTGTATAACAATATTTTTCTCTCCCTGACCTTCCCTGCTTTATTTTGTACCCAGATGTTCTTGCCTCTGTCTGAAACATGCCTTGTAACTTCACGCGCTTTTGGAAGATCACTGTGTTTCGCTGGGATAGGAATATTGCATCTGCTTCATAGCAGGAAGATGTTACATGTATTGCAGCTTAATTCTGTTCTACTTTAAACCTAGATAAAGAATGAAGACTGTCCGTACCATTTTGATTACCTCTTCTAGGGTTCAAAGAGAGAATCATTTTCCCAGACCTCCACTTGCTAATGGCTCACCTTGATCTAAGTGGTGTACAGACAAACTTGCTGATAAACCAAAACCCTTTTGGGAAGAGCCACCTCCATGTCCCAAATTCCGTTCCTCCTGCTGATGTCGTTGGCTCCTGGTAAGCACCTGAAGTCTGAACCACACGAGAGCTGCTCATGAGAAGATGGTGTGAGTGTGGACCACGCTGCCGTGCCCATAAGGGATGAGAGGAAGGACCTGCACAATGACAGCTCCGCGAGTTCCCAGTGTGAGAGTCCAGCACATGGAGTCTCATGCTTTGTCTCCAGATTGATCTCCGTTCTCTTTAAGCTAATTTCACCTGTTGTCACAAGTTTTGCTTTTGGGATTTAGACCGTCGTTAACCACAGAACTCCTGCCTCAATATCACATCTTTATTTTTCTTCCCCGCCCATCATTTTACACCAAGACTGTTAATAGGACTGTTAGCGGAATAAGCAAAGCCAATATTCACAGGGTTCAACCGTGCACCTACGGCACCTTTTGCCCCAGAATGCCTTACAAACGCCGCTCAGCACACGCCTCCCACAGTCCAACCCGCCCAGAGACCTCCTTCCACCCGGCCACCACCTTAATTTCCCAGAGCCACTTCTAGGGACGTTTCGGCGCGTAGCATCTCCCACCATAGGCCGGCCGCCCCCTGAGGTGCCTTTCAGCTCCCAGAGCTCCCCCCACGGATGTCCTGGGAACGAAGGAGCGCCGCGTGCTGATGCCACACGCCTGACGGAGCGCAGAGGAGTGACAGGGGATGGCTGAAGGAGGGCAGGCCGGCGCTCCCCCCGTGCGGCTGTGGGTGCGACGCGTAGGTGTGTACTGCGATGAGCACCGCAGAACGTGGCTCGTGGCTGCGGAAGAGGCAAGTGTCCTTTGGGCTTCGCCGGGATTGTAGCTTTGCTGTCGCAGGTGCCTCTCCTGCGTTGCCAGTAACTGCCTCCTCTCTTTGTTGCTTTCCACCAGGAGGAAGGTATGCTGAGGGCTCGGATCCAAAGAGTTCAGGTTCCCCTGGGTGAGGCGCTGCGACCCAGCCAGCTCCCCCCATCCCGGCTGCCTCACATGTGGCAGCTGTCCCAGGGTGAGCAGTACAGGGATAGTAACTCTCGCGTTTGGGAGATAGAGCACCATCTCATGGTAAGGATGGTGGCGACAATAGACCATAGTCATTCCTGTTTGTGAAGTCATTTGAGATCCTTGAGGGACGGCAGAGGACTGTTATTGTATTGAAGTCCAGTAGCTCTCAGCCACAGTAACTGCAGCCGTATTGAACTTTTCCTTGTCGCTTACAGCTCGGTGGTGTTGAAGAACTGCTGCTTAAACTCGTGCCTGGTGATTAATCTGGTATGTGGAGACATTACCCCTGCTTTGTACTGTGCTCTGTTTATTCCCCGTCATTCTTTAATATGAATTTTTGTCTTTCAGGAGCAGTGGCTCTAGGAAGATGTCCTTGTATGTTTTGTACAATAAATGATTCTCTCTCCACTGAAATGCGGCCACCCCTGAGGTGGAAGCAGTTAAACAACACACAGCAACATCACATGAGTTTAGGACAGGCAGTGAAGAGGAGTATCGTGCCCAATTGAAACATCAGGGGGAGTTCTAGGTAGGCAGAATGTAATTGCCCTATGTGGAGCTTGGCCAGGATGCTGGAAATAGGCAGTAGAAGTGCTGTGGGGCAGGGGATGGGCAGGAGGCTGACAGCAGCCCAACTCCGGGCAGGGCTGAGCTGTGGCACTGCAGGAACTGAAGTCCTGTGCTCTGTGCAGCCACAGCAGTGCTTTCCTTCCAAGCTCTCCCACTCCACTGCTTCTCCCCCCACTTTTTGTTTGTCTGTTGGTTTCTCATGAGATCCAGGTGACGGGTGGGTGCTGCAGCTGCAGAAAGTCAAACTGATGCCTGATGTCCGCTTTCTGGGAATCTGATAATGGCAGAGCTGTTTCTTTTGGGGGAATCCCAAGAGGATTTCTCTTGCAACAAAAAAATCCCCCCTTGTTGTTTTTCTGGGACGAACATAACGATGCTGTTCTGCTGTTTTTCCCAAGTTCCTCCTCCAGATGCAGTTGCTTGGCTGTGCCAAACTCCGGGATTCACAGAGCTCGCAGAGAGGGCTCATCTTTTAGCAAAAGGTTTAAAGGCATAGAACTGTTAAAAAAGAGCCGTGTTCATGTGAGTCGTTGTTGGAATCTTTGTGCTTCCAAGTGGAAAAGGACACACTTCGACCAGGGGAAAAGGGAAAGGCTTTCAGGCATAGCTCCTAGAACTTCCCTGCTCTCATGGCCAACGTTGACAGCCTCCAGCCAGGCCCAGGGGTGCATTGGGAGGCAGCTGGCAGGTTGCTCCCCAGGAAAGGGGTGCTGTGAGCATTTTGTGTGTTCATTGGGAGCGTGGGGAATCCCATCTGCTGGCAGCAGGTACATCCTGACCACCTGCGGTAGGGAGGGAAGCCGGGAGCTCTTTGCTCAAAGGCACTGTTTTGCCCCCTGCCTCCCCCCAAACATTATTTCTACAGTAACATTTTCCTGTCGTTTTAGTTCTCTGAACATGTCCCAGAAGGATCCCTGCCAGAAACAAGCCTGTGAAATACAGAAATGCTTGCAAGGTACCGAGCATCATTTTGTCTTTTTGGTGTCTTGAGTTTTGGTGGAACTGAGTTCTTTTCACGTCTCCCTGTTCTCCTTTCACCTTAAGGAAGCAAGCAAGCAAGCACACCAGTGAGACCTGACCACAAAGCCAACAAAATTGCAGCTTTGTGCTTGATTGTAAGGAGCGAGACGCCATGAGCACAAAACACAGCGTTTCTCACAGCTTTTCCAAGCTGAGCATTCTGTGTGCCGTAGCGAGAGGCTGTGTGTAGTCTCAGGACTGAGCTGTAGGTGGAGAGAGCCAGACGTTGTGTGAGTTGTGTTGGAGTGGGAGGTGAGGCTGTGGGTGGGTGGAGTGAGGACACACAGCTTGGAGCACAGAGATGCTGGAGCAGCCAGGTGTGTGCCTGGCCTGGGGGAAGCAGGTGGACTGAGAGCCTCTGGGAGGCTGTTTTGTGTTAATTGAGCAAAATAGTCGTTGGGAAAAGGGAGGTTATGTGATAACGTGCTTCGGGTGCCTGAGCTGGGGAAGGCAGGTTGGTTACTTGCAGAGAAGAATATGCTTCTAAAAAATGTAGTTGCTAAAAATGGGATGAATAAGAGAAACCGTTTCTGTGTGTGCGTGCAGCTCAGCCACACTGGGAAGTGTTTTCTGAGTCACCCAGCAGAGCTCTGTGTGTGTGAGGAGCTTTGCTGGAGGGTGACTGGCTGTGAGCCCAGGGCTGAGGGTAACAGCAGTGCTAGCAGCAGCTGGGCATGTTAGCCAAAATGGAGCAGAGGGATGGCTGTGCTGCCTGCAGCAAGTGAGTTGGGTTATGGCTGGTGAGGTAACAGCTCCTGATGGCTGGGGAATGGCATGGGAGGAGGAACATGGGGGAGAAGCAGGGAGCAGCAGCATTCAGTCAGGTGGCTATCTGTGTTTTCTAGGATTGTTTATTTGCAAGCTGTGTTCAGCTCAAAGGAAGGGTTCCAATAATCCTCACCTTGCATCCCCAGCACTTGTAAACATGCTGCCTGCTTTGCTTTTGGTGTTTGGCCCTCTTCTGGTCCCATTATGACAGTGCTGTTTTCATGACTTTCACAGAGGTTATTCCAAGTGTTGTACTCTCATAGGTTTGTGTACAGATGTGATCTGAATGGCTCAGTGTTACCAAAGAGGCTTTTCCTCTGCTGTGTGCACACCTCACTGCCCCACCACTGCTGTGGCCAACATTTCAGTGAGCTGTTGGTTGTGCTGTGATATTGCCCGAGTCGCACAGATGAAGCAGCTGAGTTGATAGCAAAGCAGTTTTTCCTGCAAGAATTAAAGCAATAGAGGAAGTAAAGCAGAGCCCGAAGTGACCAGTGCACACAGATGGTGTGGAGGATGAGGACAGGAGCAGGGAGGTGCAGCATCTCAAAGCCATTTTGCAGAGGATCACTGTTTCAAAAGATGTTGCCTGCTTCCTCTGTGAGACTGAATGCCCGCTCTAAACCATAAACTTGATCTGTTTTGCCATCCATCATATGATTGCCTTTCTGGAGTGATCCCTGATGGGTAGCAGGGCATAGTTGTGGAAACAGAGCTGCACAGGGATGGTTAGGAGAACCCTTGGAGCACATGTGATAGGAACATGATGGCAGGGAGGTGTCAGCTCTCCTTTCTAAGTCTGTGCCTTCTGGGCTGCCAGCTTCCTCCTGAACCCCCAGAGCAGCTGGGGCTTTGGGCAGCAGGTGGAGCTGAAGGTGTTCTTCCCAAGGCACCAGCTCTGTTGGCCCTGCTTTCTGAGGGCTGGGCAGAAGCCCTGGTGGGGCTGAACCCCCGCTGTCACATATCAGTCAAGGTGAGGTGGGCAGTGTCATCCTCAGAACGTGGCTGGCAGCTCATCCCATCTCATAGTGTCTGAGAGCATGCTCCTGGGAAGGAAAGGAGAGGTGAAGGCAGCACTGAGATGTGGCTGAAGGCCTCCTCGAGCTGGAGGTAGGCGCTCAGTGCAGAAGGGCTCCCGTTGCTGCTTTGGCTGCTGACTTCCTGTGAGCACTGCTGTGCAGAGCCACATCCTGCCCACAGCAGGCTGATGGTAGGAGGGCTGCAGCCACACAGCCCACCCCTTCCTCTCCCAGCCCTCCAGGGATAGCAGGTGCACTTGTCCCCATTTATATCAACTCCTCTTTGCAAGCTCTTAATTTTACTGCTGAACACCTTGCAGTGATGAGGCAGCTGGGCTGATCCAGCTGAAAAGCACTCAGGTTAAAAAAGTAGGGAACAAAGGGGCAGCAGATAGGGAAGCCTCATTCCTGCTGTAGTGATGCAATAGATGCAGAACTGGGGAACTGAATGTGCTCCTTCCGTAACAGCAGGGCTGACAGCATCCTACCCACTGACAGCAAAGGGAGATTGTAGAGCAGGGGAAGTGGTGGAGTATCAGTAAGCAGGGTGTGCTTTTCAAAGCAGGCACCACCCAGCATCCCAGGGCCAGAAACATCCCCTCAGGGAACAAAACCAGCTCTCCTGTGTAGACTTGGTGTCTCCTTCTTATTTTCCAGCGAACAACTACGTGGAGTCTAAGTGTGAAGCTGTGCTTCGAGAGATGAGGAAGTGCTGTGCCCGGTACCCCAAGGGCAGATCCATCTGTTGTTCAGGTTTTGAGAAAGAAGAGAGAGAAAAGCGTAAAGCTACTTCAGAAGGAATTCCCCCACCACCTCAGTAATACAAAGCAGCTCCAGCAGGTGCCAGAGCATGGACTCACCTGCGGAGACCAGGTGTGTGTTTTTGAGCCTTCTCTAGACTTTCTGGAAAGCCAGAGGGCTCCTAGAACACATCACCCCGTGCACCAAAAAGCATAACGCAGTACCAAGAGATGGCCTGGTTAACAGACTTTATTTTCTGTACCAAAACATCATCTACATTGTCCTTGCATTGCATCTGTGTCTGTGAAAAATCAATCTGATGTGTTTAGAATGCTTACCTTACTCTAACCCATCCTTGCTCTCAAAATGGAGGGCTGGAACCAAGTTACTGTGGCTTCTGGAGGGGGAGGTACAGGAAATGTGCTCTTAAGAGTGAGTTTAAGTGTGACACATGAAAACAAAGTCCATTTTGACACAGCAAAGGTATTGCTGCCGTCAGCCAGCAGTTCCAGGCAACATTCACCTGTCCAGGGGTTCAAGCTCAAGAATGGGAATCGGGTCTGGGGTTTGTTCCCAGGTCTTGCATAGCTCATGGTGACCACGCGTCACTCTGCCTAAGTGCCTCACTTTCCCACTGGACAGAGTTTAGATGACTTTCTATTTGAATTGCCTACACGCTGCTATTTGCATGACAATAAAGATGTTACAGGAACATTATTTCAGGGATTGCTACAGGAATAGGATCTTTTTTTAAAAAAAAAAAAAGAAAAAGCAATATTCGTTTGGAAATCCTGACTGTTGATATAAAATTTATAAATTTCTGTATAATTGAAGACCTTTAAGCAATATGTTACCAATCCAGCATATCTGGGTGTGCTGGAACCCAGAGGCCTATCACAAAGCCCTGGGCTAGATCCAAGAACCGATTTAGGTGCCACTTCTGAACACACAGTTGTAGGCACCCTCTGTCAATACAGCACTTCAGATTCACACACACAACCCAATCCGTCTGTGTCTGGACCCCAGGGAGAGATGGCTCTTCAGAAACTCTCACCTGTGCAGCAGAATTTCCTGTGACCTGTAGGAAGAGCTCAGTAGTCAGGTTCCTGCATCACCCTTCAGAGCTGCCTCTGTCTCTCCGTCCACTGTAGCAGGAGTCCAGGCACCTCAGTGGGTGCCAAGTCCATTGCAGGGCCCAGGCACCGAAATACCAGACTTCGAACCCACTAGGCTCCTAACTCTGTCATTAGATCTAGCCGTAAAGGACTTTTGTGCTGTGATAATTAACTACAAAATACAGCTTCTATAAACAGACCACTGTAGTCTAGGCACAATAGTTGAGTGTATTGAAGCCTAGAATGGCAAACCATCTGTACCTGCTGCTCTGAAATACCATAACACAAAATAAATGACTGGAACAAATCGCCGTCTGAGTGTGGTTGTTTACTGAGAGCACAACACAGCTGTAAGCTGGGCTGCTTGGCTACGTGTGATATCATCAGGTTGAAATAGAAGCTGCTCAGTATTTTTATAACTGGGACTCAGGCTCAGATTAACTCAGGGATAGCCCTGCCCTCCCACCCCACAAAAAATGACAGTGACAAAATGGGGGTGACAGGGCAGGTGGTATGCTTGGAAAGTGGAGGAAAAGGATGACAACGATGAGAAGCAGCTCTAACATTTCACAAGTGGCTCATTTTTCCCTCCTGCCCTATCCAAGTAGGAGCAGTGGGAAGAAAATCACTACTGCACATCAAACAGAGTTGTTCGGGCTTCTGTTGCACCTACTTAAAGGAAACCTTTGTCTCCGTGCCCAGTTCTGCTCAGGTGGAACAAACTTGGTCAGCTGTGAGGGAGAGATGAGGACATGCAGGTTCCCGAGGAGCAGCAGCAGATCTCACACAGAAATTAAAGCAAAACCATTTAATAAAATATCACTTCAACAAGCATTTACATATAATATATAAAAAGACTTTAAAAAGCCTAGTGTGTTTTAAACCCTCCCGTGCTGGCACGGATGCCAGAAGTGGCTGACACAAAACAAAAGGGACGTGTGTGTCGGAGGGGTGGGGGGAAGACCTCATCTTGGCACCTGCAATAACAGAAATGCATCCCCAGAGGCTGATGGGGCACCAGAACTCGCAGCGTGGGCACACAGCATCCACCACCAGCCACGAGTCTCACACTGGCACAGCAGGAAGATTTGCCAGCTCCCAACTGCTCCCTGCCCACCTTCACATCCAACAGAATTTGCCTGAACTGCTCTCTTCCCCTTGCAGCAGTTACTGAGATCTTCTGGCTCCCTCTCTGGGCCATTCCTCTCTGCAGCAGCAGATGAGGACCCCATGGAGCAGAATGCAATACCTCCCACCCTGGGCAGTGCCTGAGCAGAGGCTGGAGGGCAGCCCTAAGGCCTGTTAATGATTTACCTTCATTTTGTCCCTGGAGAAAGGTTTGTAAAGAACAGTGCATGCCAGTTGGGTTACTCAACACACCAGGCAGAGGGGAAGCAACACTTCCCCTACAGGAGCAAGAGATACTCTGCGATACAAATGTATTGATTCACACACATTCAGCTATGCAGGTTTACTACAAACACCTGCTTTTTTTTTTTTTTTGTCACTCCACTCCCAAGCATGAATTTCTTGAGGACCTATCTGCTGCATCACTTCACTCCTGCAGCCCATGATGGCTTTCCTAAAAGTTGTCATTAAAAGGATGTGAGCCCAGCTGCTCCTCCCTTCACCCCAGGAGCAGAGATACCAATTTCTGCTTCTTGACTGCCTGCAGGGTGAGAAAAGCACCAACTAGATCAAAGTGTTGCCAGAATCACACTTCAATCAGAGGCAAAACAAAGCTAATGGCTGTCAGTGCTCATCCCAAAACCTCTGGAGGCTGAACCCACATTTCCAGCCCTCTTAGCAGCTCTCTGGGGACGAGTCCCCCTTCTACCCACACCAGAACGGCATCTGAGATGGGCTGCAGCCAACAGGAGCACATTCTGGTCACTCACACACACCGTTGTTCTCCAGCTTGTTCCCTGTGAAGGGTGTGCTGACCCACATAAAAAACATTCTGGGGAAGAACACCTATCTGTACCTCCTGAAGGAAATCACCCCGAGGTCATTCAAGTCCTCACACTCTGCCAAGTGCTAACGCCAATCCAGCATGGCCATTGCATAACACCTCTAAGATACACAGATTTCATTTTTCTTGTGGGTTAGAGTTCTGCTCTGCACACAACTGTCCCAAGAACAGCTGAGCCCTGCACCAGGCTACTGCTGTCAGAAATATACAAGGGGATTAAGCAAGCAGCTTTTTTTTTTGGGGGGGGGGGAATGGGGGGAAACAGTAAATTCAAAGAAAGAAGGAACATAACCAGGGCAAAGAGCATGGAAACTGCCTACTTCTACAGAGGAGGCATACCCTGGTTCTCCCAGTTTTTATTGTTTAGGCATAAGCATCCTGCTTCTCGTAAGCAGAAAGTTCAGAGATGGTGCTCAAAGCAGTTCTAACCGGATTTCTCATCCTCCCCCTTCCATTCCAATGGAGCTGGCACAAAGGAACCTGGATCAGTGCAATGTACCCTAAACAGGGATGCAATTCCTACCTGCAATCCCATCCCAAGCAGTTACAGCTTTAAGAACATCAACTTCAAAGCAGCCAGAGGTCACGGCAGACCTAGAAACACTGCTCTGAGCCCCAAGGTGGCTTACAGTAAGTGACACAGCAGAAACACATGCTGCTTGTGCCAGTCAGCCTGCCACAGGCAGGGGAGCACCCTGGGACCAGCCCACCACACGAAGAGAGCACCTCAGCACACCTCAGAAGCTGGCAGCTAGTGACTGAGCGAGGCGCTGTATGGAACAGAAAGCTGGGAGACTTTCAGAGCACAACAGGGAGAGAGCCCTGAGTGACACACCATGCTCAGTTTCCATCAGCAGCACCAGAGCTGCACTTCCAGTAAGAGCTATAAATAACAGCAGAGGGAAAGCCAAACAGCCACCTATGTGCAGTGCAGTGGCAGGGAAAGGGAGAGAACCCCTGCCACACACGAAGTATAAATGTGCTCCTTACCCACCTGCCTTGGGCACAGCCCACACTGTCCCTCAGCACCTCTGCAGCCACACCAAGATAGCCAAGCACACCTGCACTTCACACACCAGCTCTGCACAGATGGAAGCTCAGGCTTTCCAGTGACCAGGGCAGAGAAAGTGCAAGATAAATAGCAGTGAAGAGCTGACAGCTGGTGTACACATATACTGGCAGACAAACGTAGGTCCCAGGCACTGGGGAAGAAGCATATTGTAGAGATTTCTCTGCCATTACATGTTTATGAGGCTGCAACTCATCCAGCAACTTGGGGCTAGGCATATTCAGTGAGGAAAGGAATCACTATGATACACTGAAGTCAAAAGCTTTCAGGCCAATACAGCACCCAAACAGTCCAGACAGGTAAAAGTTGGAAATCAAAAGCAGAGTTGTAAGAAATAAGGGCTGGAACCTGTGAGTGTAGGGGCTGTAGGGGTTGAACCTGCTGGAAACTACCACTGACTTCTACATTAGAGGAAGAAGAGGACAGGGGAGGCTGGGCATGATGAGTCGACTGTAGTTCCTAGGAAGCCATTCCAAGCAGAAATCCTCCAGCAAACCCTCCAGTCAGGATAACATTCTTCTTCAGAAATACGATCACCTAAGCATGGGAGAGAAGAGCCAAGAGTGTACCCCAACAGCAGCAGTCTCTCAACGACCCTCCCCACAGTAAAGCACCTCAGGCTGTTCTATGAGGTGGGCAATGCTTGGAGTGAGTAATGCTCAGCCCCAGCAAAGTCCCCCCCCAAGCTCCCCACTGTACGCACAGCTCCTGAGCTGTGACACAGCCCCAACAGTGCCCAGATCCTCCAACAGCTGTCACACAGCCAGAACCCACATACACCCTATATCAGACACATGAGGCTCTGCCACAGGCAGCACACTGTGACAATGGCAGAAGGGGCTGCTGATAGCACGCACGTGCTGCACCATGGTACTGTAGAGCCCAGTGCAACCAGGCTACACCGCTGCTAGATCTGCTTAGTTTTCCCTCCCCACCCCTGCAACTCCAGCACAAAAGCTTCTTGAGCCTTCCTCCCCACCTCTGCAATCCCAGCACATTTTCTTTTAACCCCAAGGAATTTGCCACAACATACAGTGAGCTGGCATCACGCCGAGATGCCTCAAATACTGTTTGCCATCTCACTAGTTTTGTTTTAACACAAGCACTCCCCCTTTGCATGTGCATGACAGAAGAATCCAGGAGTCCATCCCATTTCTCGCTGTCCCACCAGCAGGATACCTGCACACACCTTGGAAGAGCTGTCTCACCTCATCCACTTTGCTTTTCACTTCTGGAGACATTTTGTTACTGCTGCTGTGAAATTTCAGCTGCTGCTTGGCTTTGTTCACATCACGTTCCACGAGCTTCCAGTCAACTTTGATGTATCCTGTATGGTTTGCAATCTAGAATTTCGAGGGTTGAAATGAAAGACTGGAGTGAAGCACTTTCTGAACAGAACCCCCCTGCCCACTTACCCACCCCTTCTCACACCCTGGACCAGGAGATCAAGAGAGGATGAGCACACAAGCTTAAACAGCAGGCAATGCACCACCTCTTTGGTATATTAATTGTCCTGCAACATCTGCCTCCCTCAGTAATCCCCTAGAAGAAGGGCACACTGCAGCTTACCCTGTTTCAGCCCCTCCTCTAACACAAAGCTGGCACCCCCTCCCCCTCACAACTGCCATGTCTGCTGCTGGGACACACTGCAGCTCTCCTGCTGCTGTGGGTGGACTCTGCTATTAATAGCCAGTTCCTCCCTAAGTATTTTATCTGGTCAGGATGATTCAAGGGTGAAGCTCTCCAGGCTCAGAGCAAGCTTTGGGCTTTCAGCAGAACAAGCAGAACAGGAAGAGTAAGATAGAGCACTTCGGGAGCAAACAACCAAAGATTGATGAGTGAGCCTCCTGTGGGAGGTCCAAGCTGCATTTCAGGATATCCAAGAGGTTCCCCTCAGTTTCAGAGTTCTTAGAAACTTCTTAGAAACCAGAAGGACAAAGAGAGAGTTTCTCTCCTCCTCCTCAGCACATTACAAAGATCCTCATCTGTTCTAGCCCGACTCCTCAGGTAGCACATCAGAGACACAAGTAAATGTTCTAATTAACTTCATAAGCAGCATCTGAGCACAGCTCCAGTTCTAACATGCTGTGGTTACAGTACCTGTGGGGATGGGGCTGCTGTGTGTGCCAAGGAACGTGTGCCCACAGCATCCAGAGCTGTGCAGAGTAGGGAACACCCCACATGTCCCAACAAGCAGCCATCAGACACAACCCATCCTCACCACCAGCACTTTTCAGGAGGTCTGGCCCACCCTTCATACCCACCTGAAGCAGGAAAAAGCCACCTCCCACCGCCGTTGCTGCCAGCTTTCCAACCTTCTGAAAGATGAATCCAGTACACCTGGAAGAAAACCAGAATCCAATGAGAACAGGACATCGCTCACATCCCTCAGAAAACATCCCATAGACAATTCTGCCTTTGGTGCTAATTGCTCAGAGACAGCCTGACTAACAGCACAACCAAGCCACATGCGAGCAGGGAAAAAGGGAAAGAATTTGTGCCCAGCCAAGTGGGCTGCTTTACAACTTTTTTACTCCTCACTGTGGCTTTTCAGGCTTTCACAGTTTTGATTCTCCTCTCTTCAACACCAATGCTCTCCCAAAAGCTAACTGCAAACACGTGATTTAACCAAAATCAACACATGATTTTGGCAGGGTACTCTTTGTTTTTTTGAGTAGCAATTTCTTCACAGTAAGGGTGATGGAGCACTGGAACAGGCTGCCCAGGGAGGTTGTGGATTCTCCTCTGGAGACATTCAAGACCCAGCTGAATGTCTACCTCTGCAGCCTGCTGCAGGGACCTGCTTTGCAGGAGGAGTTGAACTCAATGATCTCCAGAGCTCCCTTCCAGCCCCTATGATTCTGTGATCATCTTCAAAAGGAGAGCTGGCAGCACACCTGCTGCTGCTCCACAGAAGAGCACAGAAAGCAGATCACAAGGCTACAGCTTCTTTGTTGCCCGAACAACTTTTACTTTTCATTTCTCAAATGAGAAACTGCTGATGCAACGGTTCAAAGTGACACCAGTCTCAAACATGGTTTTACACTTTCAGCATTGCAGTAGCCACCAGAGCTACAGCTAGCAGCACCCTGAGCACAGAGCTGGGTGTATTGTGTCACCCAAAGCAGCCTTTGCTTTGACCACAGTTCTCCCATCAACACAGCAAGCCGCTCTTACCCAATTCTGAACAGAAACACTTGGTGAAGTTACCTGAGAAGCTGCTAGCTTGGATTTGTTATGCAAAAGTGATCCATCACACACTTTTAAACGGCTATTCGTGTCACATAAAGACAGGGGCAGCAAGATGCTGTGAGCAGGGCCACAAGCTGCACTCAGAGCACCCTGAACCCAAGCAGGCAGTGTGCGCACAGCACCAGCGTGCAAGGCACGGCCAGCTGCTCCCGGGTGAGGCGTCGGTGCAGACCCCCAGCACACAGCCACCCCTCAGGGAGAAACGCGGCCGTAAGAACGAGGACCACCTTTGCCACACAGAACTGCCACTCACCATCCCGTCACCCCTCCGATCACCAGCTGCGTGGCCACGTTGTACTTCTCTGCGCTCGACCCGGAGCTGGGGGCAAAGACCTTCTTCCACCAGGGCCGGCTCTTGGTGTACTCGGCCAGGTCCAGCACGTTGAAGGCGTCCTCCTTCCTTCCTGCGGGAGGGCGGGCACGGAGATGAACGAACGACGGAGCCGCCAAGCCGCGCCCGCCTCCCAGCGCTCGCCCTCACACCCCGCCCGGGCCTCAGCCCGCCGTTCCCGCGCTCCGGACCCCTGAGGGAGGGCGGCGGGCTTCTGGGCCCGGCTCCTCAGCGCGCACAGGAGCAGGCCGCACCGCCCGCTCGAGGCGTCGCTAATGGCAATAGCGCCGCATAGACCACACAGGAAGCGCCGAACCGCCCAGCCGCCGGGATACGGGACCGAGAGGAGCCACCCCGGTGGGACGAAGCCCGACGCCGCCGCCGCTCACCTCCACCCGACGCAGCCATGGCGCCGCTCCGCTCCGCCGCCGGGCCGGCCTCACTGCGCATGCGCACCGCCACGCCCCCTTACGACCCCGTCTCGATGCAGCCGTGCCTCAGCGCGTGGCCCCGTCCACGTCGTAACCACGCCCACATCGTAGCCACGCCCACTCGGTTGCTCCGCCCCCCTCGTAGGCCCACCCACCCGCAGGTCTTGATCTCTGCGACACCCGCGTGGATGCGGGACACGTGGCCGTGGCGTGGACACGGCAGCGTGGGGCTCACAGCTGGGAGTCACAGCGAGCATCGGCTTTCCATAGGGCACAGCAGGCCTGGCTGAGCTCTGAGCATGCAGTGCCGAGGGCTGGGGGTGGATGGGTGGGTGGGTGTGTGGGAGGGCCCCATGCCCCCAGTGACCATGCTCTCATGAATACGAAGAGAAGGAGACAGCACTCTGTGAAGGTTTATTTATTCTCTTGCAAACACAAAGCTCCTGCGTGTGCTCTTCGGGGTGCCAAAACCCCGCAGCACTGCTCAGCATCCCCCCCATGCTCCCAGCAGCTTCATCCATCCCATGTCCAAGCGCAGCTCCTGTGTGTGCAGCACGGTAGTGACCCTTTGGTGACCCAGTAATCAGATGTAGCTGTTAGTGAGACTGTCGGACAGATCCTACACCGACTACTGAGCGGCCAAGGGCACCATGTCTCTGCTGGGGCTCCATTCTCCAGGCAGGGCTGGTGATGAGCAGAGGGATGGCTGTGGCAATGGAACAGCTGGCTGCCCTCTAGCAGCATTCTATCTTGGAAATCCCACACCAACAGTGATGACAGGCAGCGCCAGGCTCCTCTGTATGTCCGCATTGTGGTCACTAGCTCTGTATCCCCCAGGGCCAGGCCTCCCCTCATGCCTGCCCTGGTGCAAGCTGGGTCACCCCTGAACGTCTCCAAAGCCCCCACTTTCCCCCAGCATTGGTGACATGGTCTCGTCCTTCCCCACACACGTGCACTGTAGCCTGAGATGGGCACTCAGCTTCCTCCTGCAGTGGGGAAGGAGCTGTGCTGCTGGCACTGGGGGTCCCTGTGCTCCAGCTCGGAATGGAGGGTGGCACCTGGGCACCCTGCAGCCACTAAGGCTCCCTGCAAGGCACCAGCCTCACTCAGTCCAAGGAATGCAAGCCCAAAAGCCGTTCCCTGTCTCAAATGCTTCCTGTCCCTCCCAGTGCAACCGCCACCTCCCAGCCCACATGGCTGGGTGATCCAATGCTCAGCGTGACCTGCACCGGGCAATGAGCATCCAACAAAACCATCTTCCCCCAGCAAGCCCCCTCTTGCAGAGCCCCTCCAAAATGCTGGAACCCCCCCTGGGTGCCCCACAGCTGCACCATACCTGGCCATCTCCACCAGACAGCGTGGTCCTCTGTCGAAAGCACGTGTCCTTGGTGCACGGGGCCACGGAAGGCTCCAGGCTGCTACCGTGATGGCTCAGGGGGACATCCATGTGCCACCACCCTCATGGCCATCGTTCACTGCTGAGGCTGCAATGGAGAGACTGCTTTTAGTACGGCGAGAAGCGACGGCTGAATTCCCCTTCCCCTGGCTGGGACATCCGTGGTGGTGTCACACAGCTGTGCTGGGACAGCCCCGACACCGCGGCCGTTCGGGGGCACGCTGCAGTGCACAGAAAGGAAATTTGCAGCCCAGCCCCGTCAGAGCAAGAGCACGGGGATTTTCAGCGGGGTTTCTCTCTCTGCCCCTGCCTCTCATTCTCTCTTCTCGTTTTCTGGAAATGAAACAAGCTCAGGCTCCGGCTTTTTGTGTCGCTTTGGTGGGGGTGATGGCCCTTCTCCTTCGCTCCCTTGTGGCTGCAGTGGGGATTTTTGGCTCTGGATGTCTCCATCTTGCACGGCTGCTCTCTCTCTTGCCGACCCCACGGGATGGGATTGGGCAATGGGGACCCCCGTGGTGCTGTGTGCTGCATCCCAGCAATGGGCAGCAGCTTCGGGCTGTGCGGGAGCTGTCTGTGCATCTGTTTCTTCTTTGCAATGATCGAGAGAGGATTTTTCTGGGACAGTTCTGAACCAGCCATCCCCGTGGAGTGACGCTCAATTGCTGTTGTTAAATTTAGCCCTGTCTGGGGCTCGCCAGGAGCTGTGCTGGTGCAGGGATGCCTGAGCTGAGAGCTGGGGGACGGGGAGGAAGGGCAGTGTCAGGCCCTGAGTGCAGCTGTTGTGGGGTGGAGGGGATGTGTGTCTGAATCCAACCACCTCTGGAGGTCTGGGGTTTACTTCAGCCTCCCATTTTGGCATCTGAGATGACGAGCTGGGCACCAAAACCAGCTCAGCTCAGTGAATGTAAACCCATCTCCAGGCTGACCCAGCAACAGCATCCTGCAAAGCAATTGCTCTGAGCTTCATTTAATCAACCAGGGTAATTAGGTGATTTAGAAAGGACTGCGTGCCTGGAGGCTGCTCTGCTTCTCCCAAAGCTGAACTCTTTTAGCAGCATCCCTGCCAAGGCAGTGGCTGTAGGAGCATCCTCTGGCTATGGCCCCCCGCCCAAATGCACGTCCCCCCTTAAATGCATGTTCCCTCTAAATGCACGTCTCTGCCTAAATGCACATCTCTGTTCAGCTCCATAGGAGCATTTTGGGAGCACAGCCGTCATGCTCCACCATCTGAGCCATCCAGAGCTGCCTCCAACATGGGAAATGGGAGAGGAGAGCTGCCCCGCTGCCCCACTTACTGCAGGGAAAGGAGGGGGTGGGAGGGACCCGCTTTGGGACCTGCTCCACGTTGGCATTTCTGCTCTGGGGCTGTGCTGAGGGAGCTCAGAGCTGGGTACATGGGCTCCTACAGCTGTGGATGGGATGCTCAGTGTGGGGCTGCATCCCTTTTTTGGGGGTTGGGGCAGCAACTGCACCAGGAGGGCCAGGTGTTTCCCCCATAACCCAGAGCTTTGATGCTAAAGGAAGGACTTTTGACCGCAAGGACAGAGGAGGTCGGAATCCTCCACAGCATCCTCTGCTCTGGCCAAGGGATGGGGATCCACAGTGGTGTGCAGCACCGTGAGCCAGCATGGCATGGCTCCAGGCAGGCATGAGCACTGCACTGGGTACGTGCCAGCCAGCAGCGTGTGCCTGCGAGCCCACGTGGCGAGGCTGTGCCCTGGGCACACAGGAAGAGGGATGGGTATCACAGCCCTCAGGTCCCTCGTTGTCACTGTGCCCTCTGCCCATGTGAGTGCTGGGAAGGGCGCACTCCTCGTGGGCGGCCGTTGCTGCGGAGCTGCTCTGCATTCCTGAGAAGCCACTGTGAGTCACTCACACACACACACACACACAGACACACACAAAAAGTCCCAGGAGAGATTAGACACTGTGCACCACGTTCTGAGTCATTTCTACCCGTCCCAGCCCTGAGATGTGCGCAGTTCGGAGAAACAGCCGGCGCTTTCTGCCTGCACGTGGGTCCTTGGCACACCCCAAGCTGCATTCTCCTTATGCCAGGAGTCAGCCCTGGCTTCCCCACCCCATCTGCACTATGGGACAATGCCCTGGAGCAGCTTCTGGGGATGTTTGGAGTGGGTGGATGTGCCCAACAATGCACCTCGGGCAGGATGCAATGCCGATGCCATTCTTCAGCATCACCCATCCCTGTGCAGGTGATGCTGGTACCCTGCAGTGGCACTGAGCAGCTCTGCAGAGCCCTCAGAAATGCTGAGCAGTGGTGGGGCCGCTCCTTTGCTCCTTCCCCACATCGGCCAGGTGGTTCCTAGCAACTCCCTGGCTAGTGCCCCTGCATTACTCATGGCAAATAGCAGTGCTGTTTGCTCTCAGACAAACCCTCCCGGGGCTTTGTCTGCAGATCACATAAACCATTTGGCAGCAGCAGAGCCCCAGGTGCCCTTCAGTCTCATTTCTGGATCCTCTTTTGATATTACAGATCATATTCTTTCTGCACCCTCTTATCAGACCCCATATCCTGCCCACTCTTCCATCCCTGCAACAGGAATCTGGGGCTGCATCCTGATCGCTGGAAATGGTGAAACCCAGCAATCCATCAGCACCTGCCTGTGCCAAGAATATAACTTCTGTCAGTGCCTGGGCTGCTGCCACTGCAGCCCAATCTGTGATCTAAACGCCCAGAATGTCCCTTCCCATCCCTGACCTCAACCTGCACTCTGCCCCCTCACGGTAGCTCTATCTGCTTGGTGACATTGTTCCTTTCCAGCCTTTCCGGGAGCACACAGTCCTGCAGCTCCAGGAGATTCCCAGACGGGGACGACTGGAAGGGAGTCACGTCCATGCAGTGGGGAGCTGTGCCAGCAGCACGGCTGTCTGCCCTCTGCCCGTTGCTCCCAGACCTGGGGTCAGCCCTTTCTCTCCCAGCATGGGCTGATATCCCTTATAATTCCTTGTGCTGAGCAGTATGATGGCTCCCCTGTGTGAGCAGGGACCCCAAGTTGTCTTGCTCCAAATCGTGGGGATATGAGCAGGGGTGAGCAGTGACCAAGGTAATGGAAGGATGGGAAGAGTTTGTCATGGAAAAAAAACAGCCCCACTCAAGGACGCAGCTGTGGGACCAGGTGCAGAGCACCCATCTGTGACACACTGCTTGTTTTGTCCCAGAATATTGTCTGGGGATGGATTTTCCCCTTGGAGTTGCCATAGGGAGCAGGTGGAATGAGAGAGGATGTCCCCATTGAGGAATGGCTCTGTATTCAGGATGAGGATGGGGAGGTGTCCCCAGCCCTGTGGGGAATGGGATGGGGCTGGGATGGTGGAGGTCCCAGCAATGGCAGTGGGGATGTGTTCCCCCATCCTCACCCACTTGGACTGGCCCTACCCAGGGCACAACTCCCAGCTGCCACCCCATCCCTGGGCACTTTTCGACCTCATGTCAAGCATTCCCATTCAAGACCCCAAGACACCCACACCTCCATCACCTCCACCTCATGCCCCAAACACCAGCCTGATTCAGAGCCACCCCACAGACGCTTCTGCAGTGCTGGGGCTGCCATTGCTTTCCTCTTACCCTGCAGTGATTTATAGGGTGCTTCCCACCTCTCTTATCCCACAGCTGCCAGGATGGCACAGAGCGTTGTTCCTCATCTTCCAGCTTTTCTGTGGGATTCTGGGAACAGAGCAGAGGAGAGGAGCTTCTGGGAGGGGTGTCCTGGGTGTCTCCCCATCATTTCCCTCCCACATGGCTCAAGGTGAGGTTTTGGGACCAAATCATTGCCCAGGGGACAGAGAGACACCCATGTTGCTATATGAACATGAGCATCCCTCACCTGCTGTCAGCAGGACACGGGGTCACTGCTGCTTCTCAACAACAAGTCACCAAGAACTGCATCCTAATGGCAAACCTTAAATTGCTATTTGGGATCTTGCCCTAAATTGCCTTTTCCTCGACCACCGGGGGCTTACAGATCCAGGAGCCAGCTGCCAGTCCCTCGGGCTGCCTGACCCACACAGACCCACGGGGCACACATGGCCCACAGCCCCAAACCCACTCTCCTCTCTGCCCCATGCGGTGAGAAAGAAGGTGAAACCGGGCAGAGACCGCACCTAAATCTCCCTTCCTCTGCAACCCTCCCTTTCCTCACCTCGCTGCCGGCTGCGGGCCAGGACGTGGAGCCAGCTGGGTCCTGTGGCCGAGCTCCGCGCCGTGTTTACCCTCCCTTTCCCTTTGTTTTTTCCTCTCCTCCTGTCATTGCCACCCTGGAGGAAGAGAGGGAGAGGCCGTGCTCACACGCTCCGTTAACCCGCGCTGTGATTCTCCCCCTGATGCCTTTGGGAACGGCTCCAGCACGCTGACGGAGCACTGCGGGTGCCGCCTCGGGATCACCTTCTCCTGCAGATTCCAGCTGTTGGATGAGCATTTCACCACTTGGCTCTCTGCACTCCACGATGCTGCCGGGAGCCCTGCGCTGCCTCGTGCTCCTCTCCCTGCTCAGGGAGGGCATCAGTGAGGTCAGGAGGTACTACATTGGGGCTGTGGAGACCACCTGGGACTACGTGCACAGCCAGCTGCTCTCCACATTGCAGGCACCTGTGGGGTAAAGCTCTTTCTGTTGCCATTCTACACAGGGCTACTGGCTTACATGGTGCTGGGTCTGGGTGGGTATAAATGGGGCAGAGCAGGAAACCCCTAAGTGCCATCCCTTTATCCTGCTTGGGATGGGATAAAGCTACAGGGAGAGCACAGACCTGCCCTGCTTTGCTTTAATGCCTTGTGCTTGTGATGTGCTGGGAGCTGCCTTTCCAGATACATTTTCTCTCTCCCCTGTTCTGTATCTCAGCTGCTTTGGGGGAGATAGAAGCAGAGGTGGAACTCCATTCCCTTCTGCTTTGGGAACAGTGTTCCCACGCTGCAGCTCACAGCATGGAGGCTCTGTGCTGTGCCTGTTCCCACCTTCTAGTTCTTAATCTTTGCCTGCATGCATTGCTGGGGCTGAGGCTTTTTCCTTTAGGGAATGAATAGAATTTCAAGTGTTTGGGCATAAAAAGCTGTTGGTATGCAGCGAGAGGAGGGAGGAAGGTATGGCGGCTTTGTCTAAGTGCTTTGCAGTGGGAAGAAGTGGCTGTTGTGTTGTTTGGGCATTGAGATGGTGGTGTTTGGAGATAGAAAGCTGTATGTCCTCTCACTGGATGGGCTCTCTGAGCCTGGGGTGGGGAATGGAGCTGAGAGATGCACCACTGTGGATCCATCTTTACCCCTTGGAGGTGCTGTGGGGGGGTCGAGCTAGTGTCTGCTCTCTTTGCTTGTGTGATACTGATGGGATGAGTGCTTGGAGCTGATGGGAAGCCAAAGCTGAGGGTGGTAGGGGGCTCTGCCCCATGCTGCTCCACCAACACCCCTGTACAGCCACAAGCCGCTCCCAGGCATGAGTCTTTCCCCACCAATGAGAGATGGAGACAGCCACAGGAAAATACTCAAAGTGCAGAGAAAGGGCACACAAAGGAGAGCCGTGTGCCTCTGAGCTGTGCCTTGCGTATCTCTCACTCCACGGCTTCTCCCTCATGGGATCAGCACTCCATAGCATCCCCAGGAGTGCACCTCCAGGAGGACACCTGCTGTTGCTGTGACCCACCAGGCTGAGCTGCTTTCAGCTGCTTCCCAATGAGTTCCATTTCTCCTCTTCCTCCCAAGCACAAGCAGAATGGCCCCGGGGGTCCCAGCTCCGGCTCTGCGCTGCCGGCCACGTAGCACCGACCCGTCTGAGCGCTCCGGCAGCACGGGGTGTTGCCTTTGGCCGTCTCCTGGCTCCCAGAGATAGTGCTGCTAACAATGACGCTCGGCCGAGCCAGGAACCTCTCTGCTCCTCTGCCGCCCCGGGGTAGGAAGTCGGCGGGGACTGGAGTGCAGGGAGCTGCCAAAGCACTCCGGCCACACGTCCCTGTGCTGAGAATGGCCCTTTCGGTCCGTGCAATGGTTCTGTCACCCTGACTGGGACCCCGTGCTGAACCCTGGAGCCTCACATCTCAGGCAGAGCTCCATGCTGGGCTTTCTGAGAGATAGATCCAGCCTCAGGGTGGGCAAGGAAGGGTCTCCCGACAGCAGCGTGGGGGTGAGCGCATTGCGCTGTCCTCGATATCTGAGTCATTCTGGCTCCTTCCTCTTCCCCTCGAGGAATAGTCAGGCAGGGAACTGCTGCCTGGGCTCAGACCTTGCTGTTTCTTCGGTGGGAAGAGAACACCACCTGGTCTTTGCTTCAAACAAAGCAGGGCTGGAGGCAGTCTGTCCTCTTACTGGAAATGGGCTCAGTGCTGGGGCTGGGGCTGATAAGCAGCCTCTGAAATCCCTGGAGAGAGGAGCGGCTTTGTTATCCTGATCAACGTGCTGGACTCCTTCTGGAAAATGAATTTGCTAAGCTGCTTACAGAGCGAAAGTGGCCAGTGGAGATAAGTGGGGTGTGAAGTACACTCAGGCATCCTTCATCCTCCAGCTCCAAGGAGTGTTTTCTCAGGGTCTGGCTGGAAATGCCACTTTGGGCAGAGAAGAAAGATACGTGGGGACGTTGCCCTGCGGTTTTTCTGGGAGAAGCTGAGGAGGAAGGAAAATGGCACACGTACAGGTGCTGGGGATGTACAGGGCACAGGGGGCTGTGGGGCAGAGCAGCCCTGTATGGCACTGTGCCATGCACCACTGTGTCTTCTTCCCCTGTGATGAATGCTATGACATTAATCACTGCCACGTCGGCATCCGTGAGCTGAGAAAATCCTTTCCAAACACACCTGTGGTTGTCAGCAAACAGAAAGGATGCGGCAGTGAGCAATCCCAGGCAGGAAAGGGAGGAAGAGGATGGCTGCAGCTGGTGTGTATACTCAGCTTTTCCTTCCTTCTGCAGTGTGTCAGGGCCCCAGGAACCACAGCCCACTATGCCCGGTGCCCTCCCAAGGTACAGGAAGGCAGTGTTTGTGGAGTACCTCGATGCATCCTTCACACAGCCCAAGCCCAAGCCAGCGTGGATGGGTAAGAAACACCTACGGTGTGGTGAGCCCAGTGGTCAGACTCATGGTGGATGCTGGTGAAGGCCATCAGCTCATCCAGCAACAGGACCTCAGGGCCCGTGGGTGATTATGCCAGCCCTGCTGCTTGATCTCATCTTTTTCTCCTCCAGGTCTCCTGGGTCCCACCATCCGTGCAGAAGTCTATGACACAGTGGTCATCACCTTTAAGAACCTGGCATCCCACCCCTACAACCTCCATGCTGTTGGGGTGTCCTACTGGAAGGCGTCAGAGGGTGAGTTGGGCAATAGCCATGTGCTGCACCTCCTGCTCTGTGCCTGCTTCCCAGGAGGGGACATGTCCCTCACCAGCATGGAACTAGATGATCACTGAGGTTCCTTCCAACCCAAGCTGATCTGTGATTCTATGACCCTGCTGCCCACCTACTCCAAGAGAACAGGCTGGCACAGAGTTGGCTTAGCCTGGGGAATAGCAAGACCATGCTCAGCCCAGGGCAAGCCTGTATCAATTAGAGAGGTAGTATGTTGGTTAAACCTAAGATTGGATGCTTAGGACCAGTAGGACCATGTATCCTCCAGCATTGGGGCAGGTGGTGGTGCATGCCCCCAACAAGCACAGCTCTGCTCACTGCCCTGAAACCAGCCATTGCCTGCAGAAGTTGGGCTAGCTGAGGGCTTGGGGTGGGGAAGAAGCACTTCTGTAGGCATTTTGTGTTGAGGATGATGCTTTGGAGAAATAAGACTGTCGTTCTGGCTGTAGGTGCAGGGTATGAGGATGAGGCCAGCCAGCCAGAGCAGGAGGGTGACAGAGTGGATCCAGGGAAAACGCACACCTACATCTGGGAAATCCAGCAGAACCAAGGTCCCACAGATGGTGACTCCCAGTGCCTGACCCACTCCTACTCCTCCAATGTCAACAGTGTGAAGGACACCAACTCCGGTCTGATTGGAGCCCTGCTCGTGTGCCGGCCTGGTAAGGGCAGCACGGGATGGGGACGGGCCAGGTACAATCCTGAACTGAGAGGCACAAAAACCAAAGATGCTTTCCAGAGACCGTGTGGCAGTGGGTCAGTGAGCTGTGCTCAACAGCAGCACTTTGGGGGTTCGGCCCTTTCCCCAAAGAGTCCCTTACTGGTGTGGTAGACAAACAGTCTCAGATTTTCTTGCTGGAGAGAACCTGGTTACTTCTTTTCCTTGTGAGATTTTAGATTAGAGATGAAATTTTGCCCTGTAGCTGAACCTCATTTATTCATAAGGTGAATTTCTATGGAAGCGTAAATGTTTGTCTTTCCTTCAGATCTTCACCAAGCTATGATCATTTATTGCCAGTCAAGGCACTTTGCCAAACAGGATTTAGTTGGAAGACCTAAAGGGAAGTTTTATCAGCAAGGGGAGAGGCAGAACACCTGGAGCACTGCCTCAGCCACACTATCTGTGCCTGTCCTGCATCCTGATGAACACGGAGATGACATCTCGACTGTGAACACTCTTTAGGGCGTCAAAAAGTGAACTTGGCATGGGATTGGCCCTCTGTGGCTGAGCAGTCTCCCATAGGTAGTTGTCCAGACCCCTCTGTAGTCACCAGAGAGGAATGAGCACCTGTGGGGTGCGAGTCAGCTCCCATGTGCTGTCTGCAGCCCAATGACTCGCCACGAGCAATTCCTCCACCGACAGAGCGATGTCTAGACAAGCAGTGCAGACAATGGGGATGATGAAGGGGATGGATGAAATGGGTGAAACGGGCTCTTCCAGGTGACTAAGTGATGTGAGAGCCAGTGAGGGGAATGCGAGGCAGAGTGACCTTTCAGAGCCTGCTGGGGGAAGTTACTGCACAGCCACAGGGTTTGGGGACCGCCTGGTCTTGATTTAACAGTTCTTGGAGGGCAGAAAGCGACTTCCCATGGGAGATGGGCATGGTACTTGTTTGCTTGTAAAGAGACCCATCCCATGTCCTGTTGCAGGGACCCTGGCGAGAGATGGGGCGCAGAACACGCAGCAAGACCTCGTGATGCTCTTTGCAGTGTTTGATGAAGGTAATTAAGCTAAGTGAGCTCAGCACATTGGTGTCACCTGCAGTCAGCCTGCTCTGGGGCATATGCTTTGGCCACGATGTAGGTGCAGCCATTCGGCTCCCACACTGAGCTCCTACATCTCCTTCCTCCATGCTCCAAACTTGCACCCACCACTCACTCCCTTCACATGGGCTGGAGGAGTAACGTCTTGTTGTGTGCAGTGCTCACTGCCACGCTCATGCAAAACCATGGCCAGGCCTGCTATGAACTTCCATCAAGCACCTCACCCCTCTGGATTTTGGCTTTCAGGCTGTCTCACCACGGTGGGAAGGTTGCATTTTTCTTTGAAATACTCTCAAGCTAGAGCTAACTACACCCTCCTCTCTCCACAGGGAAAAGCTGGTACTCGGAGCCCAACTCCCCAGCCCACAACAGGACGGAGCTGCATACCATCAATGGTTACATCAACAGTTCACTGCCTGGTGAGCACTGCTGTGCTGGGGACAAAGGGGGAAGGTGGCACTTGGAATAGCAGACAGACCATCACATCTCATCTTCTTTACCTTGCCCAGTTAGAGTGAGGCAGGATCTGCTGCGTGTGTTCCAAGTGCAGCTGACCTCCTTGGATTTCTCCAGGAGTGGCACTGGTGGCAAAGTTTCATCTCCTATAGCCCTATGAGCTAGGCTGGGGGTAGCACGGAGGGCAGGATCCAGCTCTCACTGGCCTGGCTCTGGTAGCACCTCTGTAGGGTTTGGAAAGCTTCTATCAAGGGAAAGCAAAGGCTGTCTGTGGTCTCAGTAAATGTAGGAAATGGCAGTTTCTGGTGTTCTTCTGGAAGAATAAGAGAATCACAGAATCACTCAGGTTGGAAAAAAACACTGAGATCATCTAGTCCAACAGTCAAGAAGATCTAGAGCTGCCTGGTAGTGAAGAATCTCCAAGGGAAACTGGGAAATATCATCAGGAGACACATTACCATCAGCAATCACTCCCTGATGAACCCTTCCCTAAAACCTCCCACCTGGATCTGGCCTTTCTCCAATAAAAGGCAAAAGAAAAACTCCCCTGCATTCCCTGGCATCATGGACACATGGAACTTCAGAGCTGAGCAGACCTCATGGTCTTCCCCTCATGAGCCAGCAGCCCCCAGCTGATGGGCTGGCCATGATGGAGAGGTGACAACAGAGAGCTGGTGGCCTCATGACAGAGCCTCCATCCTGTCCCTCCTCTGGCTGTTGGGATCTATTCCAGTCACTTATGGTGCTCAGTGCTAAAAAAGTGTTTGACTCTAATTGACTTTGTTTGGCTTCAGTTTCCAGGAACTCGTTCTCATTATTCCCTTCCCCATGAGATTACTGAGCTCTTTGGCAAACAGCGATTTCTCCCCAGGAGAATCCTTTTACAAGTCATTCTTTCTCCCATTTCCTAAGCACGCTGAGCTCTTTGAATCTCTCCAAGGATGGAATTTTCTCCAGCCTTCAAACAATCCTAGTGACCTCACTCTGCCCTTTCTGGGGTATTTAAACTCCGCTGAAGACATGCTGGAGCCTTGTCCTGGCTGTCCTGTTGAAGCATCAGGATTGCCAGTGCTACGATCAGACAAATATATCCCATTTCCCAGCTCCACGCTTCTCAGAATCAGGCTTTGCATCCTTGACACCAAGAGTGTGGGGTTAGAGGGCTAGGGGGTTAGGGACATGGAGATGACTCCTGAGTGCTGTCCTTCCCCCTGGCAGGTCTCACGCTGTGCCACAAGAAGCAGGTCCATTGGCATGTGATTGCCTTGGGCACTGGGCCAGAAGTCCACTCCATCTTTTTCGAAGGCCACACGTTCCTGGTGAGGGGCCACCGTTTCAGCAGCCTAGAGATCTCCCCTGCCACGTATATCACGGCCCAGACCACGCCAGGAACAGCTGGCTCATTTTGGATATTCTGCCAAATGCCATCCCATCAGCAAGGTAACCTCAAGGCTTAGGGGAAAAGAAATTCAGGGGACTGGCTGGGCTCTGTGCAGTGCTGTATCGCCAAGGCCATTCCTGTTCAGCCATGTTCTATTGATGTGCAACCTGGTCCCTGGCCAGGATGGCATGGTTGGCCACATGATGGTACATTTGATGGAGGTAGCAGCGGAGAGATCATCTCCCAGCAGGGCCTGGGACTTACCTATGCAGGTAAGTCAACGTGACCCTTCCTACCCAGCTGGCATGGAGGCTGTTGTGAAGGTAGAAGAATGCCCAGACGAACTCCGACAGAAGATGGGGCAGCTCTCAGATGAGCCAGAATACATGGATGAACCTGAAGATGAAGAGGAGGAAGATTATCATGTCATCCAGGTGCGCTCTTTTGCCAAGAAGGACCCTGTGACGTGGACCCACTACATCGCAGCAGAGGAAATGGACTGGGACTATGCCCCCGTGAAGCCACCATCTCTGGATAGGTGAGAGTGAGCTCCTTGGCCATGGGGCTGTTCCTCAGGGAGGCAGCCCTTCCAGCTCTTCCCCTTTTCCCCAGGTTTGTTTTCCTTTCCTGCACATGGGCTCATGTGCAGCCTAGCTGAGGCTTTCTCCATAGAAGAAGCAGTGGACACTCCTCTAAGGCATTGAGGTGTCCTGTAGGGATGTGAGCATCTAGGCAGAAGAAGATAGAACAAGAGATGATGGCCTTACATCGTGCCAGGGAAGGCTTTGGTTGGATATTAGGAAAAATTTCTTCTCAGAAAGAAGAAGAGGTGAAGCACCAGCCCTGGGGCTCCCGCAGTGCCAATGAATATCACTTGCAATGTTATTCCCCAGCATGTGTGTTGAGATGGCAGGGATGGGTGTCCCACTCCATGCACCAACAGGTCCTGGGCAGCTGGTCCTCGGGAGGTGGAGGTCTTGCTGAGGTTCTGGCAGCACCCTGCATGTGGCTATTTGCTCCTTCTTGCCTTCAGAAACACCAGCAGACTGTTCCTGGAGGCTGGCCCACAACGGATTGGGTCAAAGTATAAGAAAGTGATGTTTGTGGAGTATGAGGATGGAACCTTCAAGAAGCGCAAGGCGTCATCCCAACCAGGCCAGGGAATTCTGGGACCTGTCCTAAAGGGTGAGGTTGGAGATCAGTTTAAGGTAAGAGAAATTGCTTTCCGTGCAGAGATTGGAAAGGGTGCTCTTTCTCCTAACAGCTCTTACTTGCTACTGGGAGATTTCCAGGAGCTTTGCATTGCTGCTCCCTGCCCCTGTGTGTTTGTGGGCATGGAGGTAAAGGTAACACCTTTGGCAAAGCCCTAAGAGAGCTATTTAGGGAAGTAAATGAAGGGCTTCACGCAGGGAAGTGGGGAGTGCTTTGAGGCTGTTGCCTGCTGTGCTGTGCCCGGATCCTTTGGGGCCTCCTGCATTGACAGAGCCCTTCTGTCTCATATGGAAAGTTAGACTAAACATAGTAACCTGCCTTTTATAAACCTGACATTTTCATGCCCTCCCAAAATGTGCAACAAGTTGATACCTCCTGGAAAGATGGGCAGAACAGATTGGTAGAGAAGCAGTCATTTCTTCTATCCTGCCTCTTGCTTTGTGTTCCTGCACATATCCAGGCTCCTTTTAAGTGCTGGCAGATTCCATTCCAATGCACTGGGGTCCAGAACTTCACCCCTACACAGTATCACAGCATACAGACAGAGCTCAACATCCCTGTCTTTGTTTCAGATCGTGTTCAGGAATCTGGCCAGCCGACCATACAACATCTACCCTCATGGCCTCACCAGCGTAAACCCATACCATGCCATGAAGCCCTCACAAGGTAAGGCTGTAGGAAGGCCATGGGAATTCAGGGCATCAATTGGCCGGTGCCATTTTCCTGGGCCAGGAGAGCTTCCTGCAGCCCATGTTAAGACAGGCTGCCCAAATAACCCATCCATCCAAGCGCTTGAGACCTCCAGATTCAGATCAGTATCTTCATCTTCAACCTCCCCTGGACTGCTCAGATTCCAGACAAACTTTCCAGTTTCTGAGAGTCTCAAGGGCTTTCAAAGTCAGGCACATGACTCTCCATCCTCACTCGACCCAGGGTTGGTCCTGGGTTGGCCCTGGGTTTAAGAAGTTTTCTGTGCAACTTGTGCCATCCGGAAACCTTTCTGAGCTCTTTTATGAAGTGGGATGGCCCCTGGAGGAGCAGCCCAGAGCTAACAGATCTGCCTTTGGCTGTGTGTTGGCAGAGAAGGATGTGAAGGACATTCCCATTGCCCCTGGTGAGTCCTTCACCTACAGGTGGAGCATCACAACAGAAGATGGGCCAACGCAGGCGGATCCTCGCTGCCTCACCCGCTTCTACTACAGCTCCATCAACCCAGTGCAAGACACAGCCTCAGGCCTGATTGGGCCCCTCCTGGTCTGCTTCAAGAAATCCATGGACCAGAGAGGAAATCAGGTGGGTACTCCCTCCAGGTGTGACAGAGGGAGTTTTGTCACTTTAACAGGTTGAAATAACACTGAGGAGAGAAATACTTGGGTAAAACCAAATGTGATTGTCCTGTTGTCTTCAACCCTACCATCAGTTCCAACCCTCTGCCTTCCTCACTCCTTCCTTCTTTCTAATCCCGGATCCTACCTCAGTGAAAAGCAGTGAACTGCTCCCCATGCACCCAGACCAAGGGGCCACTCTGGACAGACCGCAATCTGGGGCTGATCTGGATGGACCAGCAGCATCCCCTTCCCTCTCTGCTCCCAGATAATGTCGGATGACACGAGGCTGGTGCTGTTTTCTGTCTTTGATGAGAACCGCAGTTGGTACCTGGAGGAGAACATCAGGCGGTTCTGCACTGATGCAGCCCATGTGGATAAGCAGGACCCTCAGTTTTATGCCTCCAACGTGATGCACAGTGAGTGCAAAGCAGGGAGACCCCAGCTGCTGATGTCCCTGCCCCAGGGAAAGGGAAGCTGCATGGCAGCCCCAGGGCTTGATGAACCTCTCACTCCATGCTCTTTTCCAGCTATTAACGGCTTTGTCTTTGACAACCTGCAACTGCAGCTCTGTCTGCACGAAGTCGTGTACTGGTACGTGCTGAGTGTTGGGGCCCAGACAGATTTCCTCTCAGTTTTCTTCTCTGGAAACACATTCAAGCGCAATATGGTCTTTGAGGACATGCTCACCCTTTTCCCATTTTCTGGAGAAACTGTTTTCATGAGTGTGGAAAAGCCAGGTGAGTAACATGGGCTATTCTATAAACCATCCCAGCAGGGTGGAGGGAGCACTTCCACCAGGGTCCTGCTGGGCGCTGGGACCTGACCACGTTTTGGCAACCCTGAAAGCAGAGGGATGCACAGCTGCTGGAGCAGCAAAGTGAAAGGCAGTGATCAGATTCCTCTGGTGCTGCTCATGGCATCTCATTTACCCACACCACTTTGCAAGAACAGCCGCTCCGGCTGCAGGGCAGTCCAAGGAAAGATTTGGGAGTTTGATTACTTTGGGATTTGATAGTTCCCCCCTGCTCAGCTTTTCTTTTCCCCTTGGCATTTGCAAAGTGGTGCCGTTAAGCATTTCCTTACCAATGGAAGAAGCAGGCTTTACCGTGTGGTCGCACGCTGCTCGCGAGCGCTGCGCCAAGCTGTCACAGCCAAACACTGCATCCATCTGAGCTCTGCTGATCTGAGGAAGGCCAACAGGAGATGACAGCTCTCTCCAGCGTCAGAGCTGCGTTATTGCATGCTGCTCGGCGGGGATGTGAGCAAAGCACAGCCTTCTCATTGCTTTCTCTTTGAGTAGGAGAGATGTGATGACTGTGTCTGGGGGAGAAGTGTATCTGCAGGCACCATCGCGTCTTCGGGGGAGGATTACGGTGATGGCTGTGCTGTCTTCACCCCGCGGGTGCTGTGGGTTCTCAGTGCATCACTTCTCATCAGGCCTTGTGGCGGGAAGCACCAGCCCTGCTGATGGTGCTTGTTCATTTCTGATGTCACCTGCAGTCCTGATGGCTCCAAGATCCTCTGGGGTCTGTGAGATCACTAGGATGGCCTGAAAATGAGGGTCACACTGTCAAGGGATGGGTTGTGTGGGTTGGTGGTCGGACTAGATGGTCGTTGTGGTGTTTTCCAACTTTTATAATTCTATCTAATGATCTATCCGATTCTCTTCTGATCCCTCACTGTGAGGGCTGATGGTCTCCTCTTGTCTTCCCCTGAGACAGGCATTTGGACACTGGGGTGCATGAATCCTGATTTCAGAGACCGAGGGATGCATGCCAAGTTCACGGTCACTCAGTGCCAGTTTGAGGGAAGTCCTGATGAGGAAGAGTATGAGGATTATGCAGAGGAAGACTTTGAGCTCCAACCCAGGGGTTTCTCTAAGAGAAAGAACAAGCTCAGGCCATGTGTGAGCGAGCAGCCCAACAATGCCACCTCTTCCAAAAATGAGACAGGGAAGCCAGCACTGTGCTTGACAGAACCCAGCCATGGGGCCCTCCCACACAATGACACGAATTCTGGACCCTCTTCCAATGGCACATCAGCATTCCCAGAGAGCCCACATTCAGATGATATTTCCACCTCCCCTCTGCCAGAGATACACTATGATGTAGTGTCATATGAGTCCTTCCTGGCAGATGAAGAAGAACTGTCAAAAACCATCAGCCAGGACCAAGGTGCTGGGGCACTCCTATCTGGAAAACACACCAGTGGAGAAGTCCATGACTTCATGACTGTGAGCTCAAGAGAAGGTCTGCACCAAAGTAAGCCAGCTCCAGAAGATGCTATGGTGGAAAAGAAGGTGACAAATGTCTTAGAAGTACAGGAGCCAGCAGTGGTCCAGGCTGGTGGTACATTACAGAAGCTGGAAACAGAGACTCAAAAACAAACAGCTCACACAAATGATCTGAGGAACTCAACTGTGTTTGCTGCTGGCAAAGGCCCTCTTCAAGGCACCAGGAGCTCATTTCAACAGGATGACCTGAAGCACAGTCTGGGACTTCAAGTCACATCTTCAGAGGGTGCTGATGTAACACCCTTAAATCTCCATGAGTCAAGGGAGGCAAGCAATACAGGACCAAAGTTAGGCAGTGACCCTAACTCCTCCTTCACACCGGACAGCCCTTTGGGACCCTCAGCCAGGACAGAGGACATCAGGACTTCTCAAAGCCACAATGCAGAAAGCAATCACTCCTCCAATGAGTTAGGTGCCAGACTGAATAAAAGACCTCACAAAGTGATTTCACAAGGTTTTAATGAATCTTTGGGAGGGGAAAATGTTTCTTTCTCAGACCTACAACCTGTACAAGAACAAATCCTTACAGACATGAAGAACTCCTTGCCTGCAAACAGCAGCATGGAAGAAGCCAAAGGACTTGCCAAAGGCACCTTTGCACACAGCAATGACCTGGAGCCTTCCAGATACTTCACAACAGAAGAAAGGGATGAGTTAATCCTAGAGGCAGTGTTTCAGGATGCTACAGCCACTAAGGAGTTGCCAGAGACAGATAGCCTTGTCCTTCCTGAATCAAACCTCGTGGCCAATGACACAAGGCAGTCCCCAAATGCACTGAGCATGAGTGTCCCTGGCTGGAGACCTCGACAAGCCAGGTCCCTGCAAAGCAGAGGCTTTGAGCATGGTCTGGGTCTTCCAAGCCCTACTTCTGGCAGTAGGGAGTCCCTTTCTGTGGGTAACAGAGCAGAGCAGGATCGGCAAAGCAGCTCGCTCCCCACACAGGCAGCACCACAGAGCCAGGCAGTGATGGCAGCCAGCAGCTCAGCACTGAAAGATGGTAACAATGCTACAGATGTGGCCTCAAACTGGGACCCAGCCTCATCAGAGACAGCAGGGCATGCTGTGGGCTTGCAGAGCCCAGCTTTGGCTGCCATGCAGCCAAGTGGAGGGGCTGCCTGGGGGGATCTGAGGGACAAGCAGGCACAGGGGAGAAGCCAGTTGGAGGAGGAGACAAATGCTGTGGAACAACCATATCGAGAGAGGGCCTGGTTCAGTCCCCAGCATCTGGAAGCCAACGCCACGAAGGACACTGTGTCTGAGAGCACCTCTGGGCAAAACCCTAATGAAATCCCCACAAAAGTGGCTCCTAAGGAGAACACTTCCCTGCTTCTGAACAGCCCTGCATTCAACCATAGCACTGTTGAGAAACCAGACAAACATGTGCAGGCCAGTTCAGATGGACAGCAGGTGCTTGGCAGGAAAAATGTCCCTGGAGAAACTGGGAGAGTGGAAGAGCCTGAGGAGGATGGGGAAAGTGGCAGCACAGCGGGGAAGAGGAACCATGCAACAGAACATGGGGACAGCCTGAACAACGAGACCCTCTCTAGCCTCTTGATGTCAGAATCTAACATCACAGATTATGATGACTATAGCGAAACAGAGCAGGATTTTGACATCTATGAGGAAAATGAGCATGACCCACGCTCCTTCCAGGGGCAAATACGACAATATTTCATTGCTGCAATGGAGGTGATATGGGAATATGGGAACCAGAGACCCCAGCACTTCCTAAAAGCCACGTAAGTGTTGCTGCCTCTCATGTGTTCCCCTAGCACTGCATGGCATGGCTCCGTATGTAGTCAGCAGCTTGGGATTGCCAGGAGTTCAGGCCTGTGACTACATGACCCAGTCAGGTAGCCTAGGGGAAGGATGCTCCCAGCACTGCATCCCCAGTAAGAGGTCTGATACCTTCAGAATCCCGGAGCATCTTTACAAATGGCTCAGGAATGTTCTAGGCTCTGTCAGTAGAGCAGATCTGCTCCCCTCACTGCCAGATTGCTCAGCATCGGTGCATATGGCTGTGCCCTGGGGACCAGTGTCACCATATGGCTGTGCCCTGGGGACAGTGTTTAACTCCAGTCACTCCTGCAGGGACCCCATGAGTGGCAGGAGGAAACCTTTCCGGCAGTACCGCAAGGTGATTTTCCGAGAGTACTTGGATGATTCCTTCACTCAGCCAGCGATGCGGGGAGAGCTGGATGAACACTTGGGCATCCTCGGGCCGTACATCAGGGCAGAAGTTGAAGATACCATCATGGTGAGTATAAACCCTGGGATTGCCAGGAGTTCAGGCCTGTGACTACGTGACCCAGTCAGGTAGCCTAGGGGAAGGATGCTCCCAGCACTGCATCTCCAGTAAGAGGTCTGATACCTTCAGAATCCCTTCAGAATCCCTTTATTCCTATAAACCCTGACCTCTCCGCTTGGTTGGCTCTGCTCACTGAGTGGTGGGATCCTTTAGGGTAAAGGGATTGTAAAAAGGGTAATGAGCGTTTGCTTCCCATCCCCTCTGGTGCAGGTCAAGTTCAAGAACCTGGCCTCGCGGCCCTTCTCCTTCCACTCCTCACTGCAAGGCTACGAGGAGCTGCAGGGAGGTGAAGCGGTGCAGCCCGGTGAGCTGCGCGAGTACTCCTGGAAGGTGCTGCCCCAGATGGCTCCCACCACACAGGAGTTCGACTGCAAGGCCTGGGCTTACCTCTCCAATGTGGACTTGGTGGGTGGAGAACTGTGGGCAGCATGTCTGGGCTCTGTGGTGTCAAGGCTTTTCCTATGGTGCTGTGCTTAGAACAGCTGGTGGCTGTGTAGATTCTCAGATGACTAATATAGTGATGAACTTATGCAGCATTTTTCCCTCCCCTTCCCCTCCCCTTCCCCTGCCCTTCCCCTCAGTTGTGCCTTTTCTTTGAAGCTTGTAGAAATTTGCATTCTGGAGCCCCATAAGCTTACAATTTAGTTGAATTTTGTCCCTGGGTTCCAATGCAAGTGGAGCAAAGTTGGACACTTGCATTGGACACTTGGAATACCGCTTCCCTTGAATGTGTTGTTCAAGGCACTCCATGTCCTGTGTATGGGTTAGAAACCAAGTCAGGGATGTAGACAGGACCATCACTTTCATAGAACTATAGGATCATAGAATCATAGAATGGCTGGGGTTGGAAGAGACCCCAAGGATCATCAAATTTCTACCTCTGCCACAGGCAAGGTTGCGAACCGCTAGATCAAGTAGTAGATCAGATTGCCTGGGGTTGCCACATCCCACTCCAACACAAACTTGTCTTGCAGGAGAAGGATTTGCACTCGGGGCTCATCGGGCCACTGATCATCTGCCGCCGTGGGGTGCTGAACTCTGCTTTCAAGCGGCAGCTGGCTGTGCAGGAGTTCTCCCTGCTCTTCACCATCTTTGATGAGACCAGGAGCTGGTACTTCGCAGAGAACATGAGGAGGAACTGCCGCCCGCCGTGCCGCATCCAGCTGGACAACCCTGACTTTAGGAGAAACCATTCCTTTCATGGTGAGGACCTGGCCCTTACCCTTTCCATCCCACAATACATTGGGATGGAAAGGTTCAAGGGTTCCAGGCCACTCCTGACCGCTGCCTTCCCCAGCCATCAACGGCTACGTGGGGGACACTCTGCCCGGACTGGTGATGGCTCAGCTGCAGCGGATCCGCTGGCACCTCCTGAACATGGGCAGCACTGAAGATATCCATTCTGTCCACTTTCATGGGCAGATCTTCAGTGTCAGAACGAGCCAGGAGTATCGCATGGGAGTCTACAACCTTTATCCTGGTGAGATGCAGCCTGGATGCCGTGCACACCCTGGCTGCATGGCTTCATGTCTGCACCTGTTTGGATGTGCTGAGGGACAGCAAGGATGGGGAATGGGTCCAACAGAGTCAGGCTCTGAGTTTGCACAGCATTTGGCACCACTGCACTGTGCTATGGCTGGTTAATTCTCTCTGCTCTGCTCTTCATTCCTGGCCAGGTGTCTTTGGGACGGTGGAGATGCATCCCTCGCACGCTGGGATCTGGCGGGTGGAGTGCAAAGTGGGGGAGCACCTGCAGGCTGGGATGAGTGCCCTCTTCCTCGTGTACAACCAGGGTGAGTGACCCCTTTGTGCCCAGAGCAGCACGCTTTGAGCTCCCTGTCCCCATGGGTTGTCCAGGCAGCATCCCCTAAGTTCTCATTCATATTTTGACTTCAGCCCTTGCCAACTGTAACACATCCCTGGCAGAGATCTGTTTAGGGTGAAGGTTGGAGACCAGCTTTATTTGGCTGCAAATATTTTCTCCCAGAGCACGTGCCAAGAGGTAAACTGAGGCACAGAGTGCAGTGCTGCCCGATGGCAAGTCGCTCTGATGGAAACATCCCTGAGAGCAACTGCCAAGTGCACAGGAAACCTCTGGCTCCACTTCCTCCAGAACACGTTTCTCCCTCTCTGTAAATAATGCAGGGGGAAGCAGTTAGAGAGGCTGGTGCTTTATCACACTGTGACAGCCCCTCTCCTCTTCCTAAAGGAGCAGTAAATGTCAGCCAGAAAACATTTCCATAACTTAAAAATCTGCTTAAGATTTCAAAATGCATGTTTTTCCCCAGAAGCATTTGCCATGCAGCAGTGATGCCAAGATGTGACAAGTTGCTAATAATAAGAGCTATTATAAGAGGCAAGCAGCCCTGTGCTCAGCAGAGCAGAAGAGAGACAGGAGTGTTAGGCAGGTTTTCCTTTAGCAACGTGATATTTGTTTTTGAAAGATGCTGCCTAGCAACAAAAAGGCCCAGGGGTGAGACACAGGTGTAAGGAAGAGCCACTTGTCAGCATTGCTGGGAGATAGAGACATGGGGACAGGAGGTCATGGGCTTAAGGATGGAAGAGCAGCACTAGCATGGCCAGAGATTGATGATGGGACCTTTGCTATGGCCTCTATCAACCAGCCATCCCTGTTTTTCTCCTTGTTTGCCTGTAGATTGCCAGAATGCCCTGGGCATGGCCTCAGGCTACATTGCAGACTCCCAGATCACGGCATCAGGGCAGGAAGGTGAGTTTGGGGTGGTTGTTGGGGCTGGGTCTGATTCAGCACACACAACACAAGCGTGGTCAAAGCTGGACTTGAGCAAGTCCCCTCCATCCATGCCCACATGAGGGTCCCACCTGGGACCTGAAGGTGCCTCCCCATTGCACCTGGGCCATGTCACCCTGCTTGAAGCTGTGACAGGCGATGCTCAGGGCTCATCCTGCAGGTGGGCAGCTCACCACTTCCTGCTCCTCAGACCTGTGCACTCTCCTTGCAGGGCCATGGGCCCCTAAGCTGGCCAGGCTGCACAACTCCGGCTCCATCAACGCATGGAGCACTGGTGAAGGCAACCCCTGGATCCAGGTGAGAGGGGTTCTGAGGCCATGATACTGCTGGGGGCAGTGCCAGGGCACACACTGTCTGGTGCATCCCACAGAAGGACCCAAGTACACGGCCATCAGAGATTGAATCCTGCATTCCATTCCCAGGTGGACCTTTTACACCTGAAGATCATTCATGGCATAAAGACCCAAGGGGCTCGACAAAGGCTCTCCAGTCTCTACGTCTCTCAGTTTGTTGTCTTCTATAGCCTTGATGGGCAAAGGTGGAAGAAATACAAGGGCAACGCAACCAGCACACAGATGGTGAGCAGGATCAGTTCCAGGACTGATTTAAAAAAACAAACAAACAAACAAAAAAAAACTTGGTGAATATATAGAAAGTTCATTTGCAAAGACCCCAAATTTCTCCCCCTCCATTTCTCAGTGGTTTGCCCTGATTTGCCCCTTTCACATTTCTTTGGTCTGAGTCACGCTTCAAAATATTCCCTGAGCTGTTGTTCTCTTGTAAGGATGGTGATAAGATACAGAAGCGCCAGACTGAAATGATCTTGTCCATGCTAATCCTTGTCCTGTCTAGCTCTTTCCACCGACACAACAGCCCCTTTTTAACCCCTTCCCTGCAGATGTTCTTTGCAAACGTGGATGCAACCACAGTGAAAGAAAATCGCTTCAACCCTCCGATCATAGCCCGCTACATCCGCATCAGCCCCACTCACTACAGCATCCGCACCACGCTGCGCATGGAGCTCATCGGCTGTGATCTGAACAGTAAGTCCCACTGCTGGGACACCCAGCACCTGAGCTGATCCAGAGGGGTGCTGAGTGCTCAGATTTGGGATTCCCCATGTTTCAAGTCCCCTCAGGTGGGAAGGAGTTGGCAGAAGATGGTTTTGGGGGAGCCAAGCTGGAAAAATGGCTTTGTGTCTTTAGAGATAGCAGTAGCAAAAGCAGGGCAGTAGGGCCCTCACCACTTTGTTCTGAAGAACAGGAAACTTTGGGCAGCAGCTGAGCTGATAGCTGGGGAGGTGCTGCCTCAGCCTGGGGAGGAGGGAACAAACAGAGATGTGCTATTGGCTTTTTGCTCTGAGACCCTTTTCTTTAGCTTTGCACAGAGCAAGGCAGATCCTTACAGGATCTGTGCTGGCACCCCACAGCAGGCAGATGCACATGCACACCAGTTCATGTGTATCCAGTGTGTTTCCAGTCATCCTTCCCCTTGAAATGAATTTGTCCTGGCAGATAGACAAATATTCCAGATTCCCCCTAGATAAAATCTCCGGGGAGAAAAGAAGGTGGGAGGAGTGGCAGGTATCATTTGTCACTGCCCAGCCAGAGCCATGCTGCAAAGGCACTGAGCAGTGCAGGAGATGCTGTGAGCAGGAAAGTGTGTGGAGGGCAGAGAGAGGAGTGTGCAGTTAGGATGCACCTCCATAATGGGTGTCTGTTATCCCTTCTGACAAGTTGCTTCTCTCTTCCAGGCTGCTCCATGCCCCTGGGAATGGAGAGCAAAGGGATCCCTGACCAGCGCATCTCTGCGTCATCCTACAGCTCCAACATCTTCTCCAGCTGGTCACCCTCCCAGGCCCGCCTGAACCTGCAGGGAAGGACCAATGCATGGAGACCAGAGGTAGCCCAGCAAGGAGACCCCAGGCAGGCAGCCGGGGCATGAAACAGGCAGGCTGGGTGCTCACTCCTTTTCTGACCAGGGCACCTTGAGTAGCGGTTCAGCCACCCATACCAGATGCAGACAGGTTGCCCCCAGCAGCTCTAACCCTGATGGGGTGGGTGAAGCCCAGGGTGGCATGCAGGGTCAGCTTGGCTTCAGCTGCTAGGATTTTTTTTCTCATTGCTGCTGGTGGTGATGCTGAAGGGTAAAGGCAATGTGTCTTTCCTCAGAGCAACAACCCCAATGAGTGGTTGCAAGTGGACTTTGAAGCAACCAAGAAGGTGACTGCAATCATAACCCAAGGTGCCAAGTCTGTCTTCACTCACATGTTTGTGAAGGAGTTTGCTGTTTCCAGCAGCCAGGATGGTGTCCACTGGAGCCCAGTCCTGCATGATGGCAAGGAGAAGGTAGGCAGAACTGCAGCAGCTCTGGGGCATCAAACATGCCCACAGCAGTTCTGTAACAGCTGCTAACCAAGCTGTGCTTTTTTCCACTCGAAAGAGTTCCCAAGAGGCTCTTGTCCATGTTGGTTGTGCCCTCAAGCCCTGGGCTCTCCGCACCAGAGCTCAGCAAAGCAACCAGCACCCCACAGACTCCTCTCTTTTTTCCAGATTTTCAAGGCAAACAGAGATTACACCACCACAGTGCTCAACAGCCTGGAGCCGCCGCTCTTTGCCCGCTATGTGAGGATACACCCCCGCCACTGGCACAACCACATCGCCCTACGGATAGAGTTCCTTGGCTGTGACACCCAGCAGGAGTACTGATGGGCAGAGCTGGCCCACGGAGCCACATCCAGCAGGACACTGAACTCTCACTGGGGCCAGAGCTGGCCCTGTATGTCCAGGAGGTGCTGTTGGCATCAGCAGAGGTTTCTCTGCTCCCATTGCTGTGCTAATGGCTCCTGCTGACAGAGCGGACTGTTTGTCATCATTCTCTTCCTGCTCCTCATCTACCCCATGCCGTATAGTCAGACGTAATGCTGAAGAATTAAACAGTAATTTTCCAGTATCTCTGCACTTCCTCCTCTTCTCCAACCTTGGAGTCCCCAGGGGCTCAGTCAGCATTACCAGCAGCCGGTAATTAAATAATGAGCCCCAGTGATCCTCAGCTTTGTTTTCCACCAGCACAGCCCTGGAGGAGGCGGTGGCAAAGATAAAGGCTGAGGGCAGAGGCCCTGCTCCCCTCCCCAGGGCACATTTCACAACCAGTGGGGATCCGGATGCCTTGCCTGGAGGGAGTGCTTGCACAACTCAACTCAGCACTGGGCTTTGGCCCTCAGTTCCCTTAATCTCCTTCCTATGCTGTGCTGACATGGCTAGATACCACCCTGGGGTTTTCTGGGGCTGGTTGCAGCAATGTTCTCCTTGTTTCTGACTGGAAGAGCTCTGTTGGTGCATTGGTGGCTCTGGTTGGACATTGCCCATGCCAGTATGCCCAGCACTGGGGAACACAGGAAGGTCCTGGCCAGGTGGTGCCAGGGCCTCACACCCCTCTCCCCACACCTGTAAGCAGTGAAGCTGACAGCACTGCTCTGTCCCCAGCACTGAATTCATTCCCGGAGGCCCCAGAAGGGCCTTTGCCTACTTCTCATCCTTTCTGCAGCTTAATTTCAGGAGGAGATGCCCACAAAGCCTGCCTGAGCCCCAGCAGGACTCAGCTCCTCACAGCATCACAGGGCAGATACACAGCAGCAGCCTCCTCTCCACAGGGCTCTGTGGGCTTCAGCCCCCTTCCCACGCTCCACAGCCCCATGGATATTTCTCCTCCTCCTTATTACCTGCTGATGGACATCTCCCATCCCAGCAGTGCTCCCAATGGCACCACTATGGGGGAGTCTGTGAGATTTCTGTTGGTGCGAACCTTCTGGAACGATACTACCTCAGAAAGGTCCAGAGCATTGTGGGGCAGGTGGTGGCCGTGGTTTTTGGGGTGCCTAGCTCTCCGCAGCGGCAGTGGCGGCGTTGCCAGCGGTGTGCCAGAGGCCGTGCCTGTCCTCCCCCTGTGCTGTGAGTGCTGGGGGAGGGAAGGGGACCAGCTGTCCCCAAACCAGTGGAGATCAGAAGCTGATGTTTTGATGGAAGCGGTGCTGAGACCCCCCCCCCGCCCCGTGCATCCTCCTCGTGCATTGCTGTACAAGGAGCCTTTGCTGTGGCCCTGACAATGATTACATTACAGCCCCAGACATGAGGTGTAATTACCCTTTGGCTTAATTGCATTCTGACAGTAATCAAGCACATATGGAAGCAGACACTGCCTGGTGTGAGCGGGCCTGAAGGGAGGAGCTGGGACCATAAGCAGGGAGCATTCCCATCAGGGGACCTGGTGAAAGGTCTTTCCTTCAGCACAGCAGGGCAGAACCTGCTGCATCAGGCCCTTCTCAAGGAAGCACAGTTCTAGCCACGGCTATCTCAGTAGGCCAAGCTGGACCTGACCAGCTGAAGCTTCAATGCCCTCCCAAAAGCAGGCTCAGCTGCAGTCCTATAGCAGCAGGACTGGCTGGTCTGTATGATGGGAACACGATCCCTGACCCCACCAGTGGGTGCTCAGCCTCCTGCCTCCAGAAACAAGCTGCTCTGCAGATGTCCGGTGACATAGGATTAGATGAGAAGAAATGCTGCCCACAGCAGGGCTCTCTCTGGATCGCTTTTCAAAGAGGAAACAGCTGAGGCTTCTGTGAGCAACCAAGCAGCCTTTGCTGGGCAGCCCTCAGGATGTTCTCCAGCCGCCCAGCACACAGTGAGAGCACTGGGATGGGGCTGCAGGGAGCTGTGTCAGAGCCTGCCAAGCACTGGCATCCATTACTGGAAGTGTCTCTTGACATTTATCTTGTGAGGAATGGAAACCAGATGCCATTTCCTCCTGGCGCAATGCAGCTCTCAGCTGCACTGTAGCTTTCTCCAACCCGGAGATGTTTTTGTGCACAGGAAGGGCTGGAGCAGTGCAAAGTGCTCTGCCTTGTCCCATGTGCTCTGCAGATGCCTCCAGGCCAGCTGAGCAGGGCTTTGGGGAGGGCAGTCCCAGCAGAGCCCTCCAACCTCCTGAGCACCTCTGTGGGTGCTGCATGCTTATCAGGGCACTTCTCTAGGCCCTCAACCTAGTTCATTATTTTCTCATAGTGCTTTGATTTTACAGGCCTCCTCCCAGGCAGCCCTACAGATAATGATCAATACCCAGGGCCCAACTGAAAGTCACTGCTCAGCTGCGTGAGGCCATGGTCCTGCGAGCTGTGGTGTTCCTGATCGCCGTGCTGACCGCCTTATTCTGTCAACACGTCTCCAAGCACAGGACCACCTTCCAGCTGGGCGGGGTGATGCAGAGGCTGAGGCTGGCAGACCAGCAGGGGACATACTTGGATGACACACGGAAGGTCCCTCTTCATGCACAGGAGGGGAAAGGCTCCAGCCAGGTGATCCAGCGTAAGTACACTGCAGCGCTTCGTGCAGCACCTCTGCACGGCAACATGGGGGAAGAAGGCCCTGACCCTGCTTCAAAATATGCTCAAATCCAGGAAAAACGCACTGATATTACTGGTGTTTCCCTGCTCTCTTCCTCACACGTCTCTTCTCAGGCATCCGTCGGTCCTGGGTGGAGGACTACCTGGGTGACGTGTGGTTTCACTTCTCTGAGAACTTCCCCATCGCCGTCCTCTACGTCTTCCCCATCACCATGCTGATCCTGCTCCTCCTCTGCTGCCTCACGTATGTGTGCACGTTGCACACCCCCTGGTGCTCCTGTTCTCAAGGAGCTGTGTTTGCTGGGACACAGCTCTGCAATGCCTGCTGTCCCAGCACAAGGCAGCAAGGAGGAGGTGCTCCTTAGGCTCCTTGTGTTTTTTAGGGTAAAGATGGAGTGAGGTGACCTGGGGAACTCTGAGAGAAGCAGCGTGGCTACACTGAAAGAAATTCTGGTGCCTTGATGGAGCACAGCTGAAAGAAGCCTCCAAAACTCCAGGAACCCTGAAGCGGTGTGGAAGAGCCAGGAGCAGAACCACCTTTCTCTTCCTTTCAGATGACTTTAAAGATTCTCCCAGACTGAATTTCCCACCCCCGCATAAAGTTCAGACTTCACCTGAGGCTCTGCTCTCTGAGTTATAGCCAGACACAAGAAGTTCACTGGGGTTCACAGAATTGTTAAGGTTGGAAAAGACCTCTCAGATCTCCATGTCCAACCCCAACCCATCCCACCGTGTTCATAACCACATCCCTCAGTGCCACATCCCCACTGTTCTGGAGCACCTCCAGAGACAATGACCCCACTGCTCCCTGGGCAGCTGAGCCAATGCAGCACCACTCTTTCAGAGAAGCTTTCCCTAATATCCAGCCTGAACCTTCCCTGGTGCATCTTGAGGCCATCACCTCTCATCCTATCGCTGTTACTTGGGAGAAAAGGCCGACCCTCACCTCACTACAACCTCGTCTCTGGGAGTTGGAAAGAGCAAAGCATAGAATCATAGAACTGCTCAGGTTGGAAAAGACCTTAAAGATCGTCAAGTCCAAGCTCAACCCAACCATACAACCCTGACTCTAACAACCCACTGCTAAATAACGTCCCTGAGCACCACATCCAGACGGTTTGCATTCAGAAGATCCAGGTTAATGTCCTCTTTGCCTTAGCATGTGTTGGAAACTGAGAGTTTGACTCTTATTTAAGGCTCTGAAGGCCTTTGGTTTGGGCAGCAGTTTAATCTGAAGCTTCTAGGTTATGTGAGGGGTGGTAGGAAGGTTGGTGGTGCAGCTAGGATGCTTTGTTAGGGTGTCATAATTTTATCACAAGTCACAGAATTGTAGGGGCTGGAAGGGATCTCTAGAGATCATTGAGTCCAACCCACTGCAAAGCAGGCCCTGTACAGCAGGCTGCACAGTAGGCATCCAGCTGGGTCTTGAATATCTCCAGGGAAGGAGAATCCACAACCTCCCTGGGCAGCCTGTTCCAGTGCTCCGTCATCCTTACCATGAAGAAGTTCCTTTGCATATAGGTGCACATCTTCCTATGCTCAAATTTATGGCCGTTTCCCCTTGCCCTGTCCCCACAGACTGCTGAAAAGAGGTTGGCCGTGTCTCTTTGACTCCCACTCTTAAGAAATTTATAGACATTAGTAAGATCCCCTCTCAGTCTTCTGTTCTCAAGGCTGAACAGACCCAGTTCCCTCAACCTTTCTTCATAGGGGAGATGCTCCAGGCCCTGTATCCTCTTCGTGATCTTCTGCTGGACTCTCTTCAGGACATCCCTGTCTTTTTTGTACCTGGGAACCCAGAACTGGATGCAGTACTGCTGGTGAGACCCAGCCAGGGCAGAGCAGACGTGGAGGATCACCTCCCTTGATCTGCCAGCCTTTTCATGCACCCCAGGAACCCATCGTCCTTCTTGGCCATCGGGGCACACAAACCACATTTTATGGACGTGTTCACAGGAGCTGGAGGGAAGTATAAACATTGAGCAGCACGCGAGGCAAAGGCAGAACAGCCGAGGAGGCACAGCACTGTACCGATTGCGGCCGTCGGGTTACCTCCTGCTTGGATAACGAATCATTTGGGGCACAACCCACGCCGCCCGCACCCCTACGGACCCCCACGCACGCCGCCCCAACACCGATAGCGGCTCCTCAACGCCCTGCCCCGCGGCTCCGCCCAGCGCTGCGCCTTCAGCCCGTCCTCGTCCCGCCCCGCGCCGGGCGGAGCGTGCGGTAACCGCGGCGCTGCTGGAGCCGTGTTGGTACGGCGGGGCCGGGCCGCTCTGCTGGAGCCAGCGGAACCGGCTGCGGCTGCTGGCGGCGCGCCGGGCCGGAGGGATGACGCTCAAATCGAGCCGCGGAGGCGGAGGGGGAAGCGGCAGCATGAGGACGGCGCTGTCCGACCTCTACCTGGAGCACCTGCTGCAGAACCGGGCCAAACCCGAGGTGAGCATCGAGCGCCCGCGGACCCCGCCGGAGCCCCGAGACCCCCGGGAGCCGGCTTAGCGGGGCTGGGGGCGGGGGGGGGAGCGCAGCATCCTGCCCGTGTGCTTGT